ATGTACATGTACATGTACATGTACATTTATACTTGTACTGTGTACATATGTACATGTGCCATTTTGCTTGTGCATCATGTTTGCCCTTTACAACCATATAGTCTCAACTCAAAGGGCAGAACAAAATTACTTATAAAAAATATGTTATACCGGTCTATGTTACTTTCATTTTTTGCTCAACCAAAGTCTGTGTTGCAGTGTTCATCTCCTCGGCGGAGATCTTGTATACGCGTCCTGTTTCAGTGAACGGTTACACTGCTGTTAGTACATCCTTGCCATGAATTACAAGTGTGTCTGGTCGATAGGGGAACTTGAAAGATGGAGATGGCCCATGGGGATGAAGGAAACTCAGTTCCACTTCTTGGGATGCTGGAAGGATCTCCTGAACACATGCTAGCCACCAGTAACAGTCATACATCACTGTAACATACCCCTTGATATCTGCAAAATCAATACATGCAGTTTGTCCATGGACTTGGAGACAAACTGGTTCCTCCCTTGAGTCTGAGGAGGAGGAAAAATCACGCACCTTAATTTTGTCTTTAGACATCGGACAAAAACAGTGCAGCTTTTGTGTTCCTGGAATGGTACGTGCAATTTGGAATCTTTGCCTGAGAATATCCGCTTCATTCTTGTATTGCTCTGTTGTTGCAAAAGCGAAGTCAATACTGACTGAGAAGTAGCAAATTCATACAGCTGCCAAGGGGTCATAATCTGCTGATCCAAAGGTCGCTGGAGACTAGCTCTTGCTGCAAGGCGTTTAACAGTTCCTCCAATTCCATCAGATGGGCCTTTCCCGTGGGAGATTGCAAAAAAATGCCAATCTGCTGGTACACCAAAATCCTCTTCGTGATGGCACAAGTTGATGAAATTCTTGAGGTTCTTGTACTGAGCAGCACAACCATCTGAGAAGTACAATATCTTCTTGAAACTTCCAATCTTATTAGTGAGAAATTGAAGGAGCAATTTCTGGAACAGATGTACTGTTACAGTATCATGGGTATTACAGTCTGAGATGACGACAAAGCTTAGGTGCTCATCAAGTTTGCCTTCTTGTTGGAAGTAGCACACCTAGGGGTGAATTGTAGCCTGTAGATTGTTCCAGTGGAATGACTGGGCAGCATCCTGAACTACAAAACTGTAATTTTCTGCAAAATCTGCAATGACCAAGATTTCGCTTGGTTCCATGTTGTCTTTAGTGTGCTGGAGAAAGTGACTCTGCTGTTTGGCAATAAAGTCATGATGTAGTAACTTGCGGAGAGTAGCCATGAAGGAATCCAAAAAATCATCCACTGTATGAATTTTGGTTTCAAGTGTTAAACTGTTAAACGCCTTGCAGCAAGAGCTAGTCTCCAGCGACCTTTGGATCAGCAGATCATGACCCCTTGGCAGCTGTATGAATTTGCTACTTCTCAGAGAATGAGTACTGACTTCGCTTTTGCAACAACAGAGCAATACAAGAATGAAGCGGATATTCTCAGGCAAAGATTCCAAATTGCACGTACCATTCCAGGAACACAAAAGCTGCACTGTTTTTGTCCGATGTCTAAAGACAAAATTAAGGTGCGTGATTTTTCCTCCTCCTCAGACTCAAGGGAGGAACCAGTTTGTCTCCAAGTCCATGGACAAACTGCATGTATTGATTTTGCAGATATCAAGGGATATGTTACAGTGATGTATGACTGTTACTGGTGGCTAGCATGTCTTCAGGAGATCCTTCCAGCATCCCAAGAAGTGGAACTGAGTTTCCTTCATCCCCATGGGCCATCTCCATCTTTCAAGTTCCCCTATCGACCAGTAATTCATGGCAAGGATGTACTAACAGCAGTGGAACCGTTCACTGAAACAGGACGCGTCCACAAGATCTCCGCCGAGGAGATGAACACTGCAACACAGACTTTGGTTGAGCAAAAAATGAAAGTAACGTAGACCGGTATAACATATTTTTTATAAGTAATTTTGTTCTGCCCTTAATATATATATGAGTTGAGACTATATGGTTGTAAAGGGCAAACATGATGCACAGGTAAAATGTACACATGTACATGTACACAGTACAAGTATACATGTACATGTACATGTACATGTACATTTAATATTATGCATACTTTTTCATGGACAGGCTTTCTTCAAAAAATCATAACTTAAAAAGCTGACATCATTAACTAACATTTGAAAAAAAATTTAAAAATTTGAAGCATATTGTTTTTCGTAATTCGAGGTCAAAGGTCATTTTGTTACGCATTTTCTCTGCACTTCATGCTACGATTTTGGTTTTATTTTATGAAATGGAGGCCATTCAAAGAGCTTTAATATGATGTACAACTTGGCTTTGTAGGCGCTATAGTTTTTGAGATACAAGTATTTAAAGTTCGGAGGTCATGCTAATTAGTCAAAAGTTCGTTGACCCGTATCTCAAAAACTAACGAGTCAATTTACAAAAAAATTCAGTTCTGGGGGTTTCTCATATAGGCCAATCATCACACCAAATATCGTTTCAATCTGTGAGGGTCGGGTCCAAAAACGTGTTGATTTGACACGGAATGACCCTTTATACCAAAGGTCTCAAGACTCCATAGGAAGCACTTGAGACCAGTTTTTGCAGCAGCTTGAGATCAGTGCTTTCTGGACTCTGCCTTCACAGACACATATGTAGACAAATGCACAAATGACAAATGATCTACCCAGCTACCTTTACAAGTAATATACCAAAATTGAAATCATTCAATAAACCAAGTTTATAAAATGGAACGTACATGTACCTAATTGTTATTCGCTCTTTGCACACTCCGCCATAAGCATGCAGAGCCTGGATCTGGCAACTTTACACAATAAAAATAGACGGTTCAGTGATTACCATGTACTGAACCCCGACACGGGAATCATTGAACCGGCTACGGTATATTTATTGTGTAAAGTTGCCAGATCGAGGCTCTGCATGCTTATGGCAGGAGCGTGCAAAGAGCAAATTGCTGGGAACACAATTTAATTTATTTTGGCTGCCCTACCTTGGGAGGGGGCTTGTGACACTAGTGGTTAGGGTTCGTGACTCATGATCGAAGGGTCAGGAGTTCAAATCCATGCATGTATTGTGTCCTTGGGCAAGCCACTTCTCCCCCACTTGCCTCTCTCCAATCAGGGGGTATGTGGTACCAGCATTAAGCTGGGAAGTAACTTGTGATTTCTGTGATAAGTTATCGCGGTAACGTGGTATCGAGGAAGGATTTATCTTTGAATTCCGGATTTCTGTGATAAAATATCACAGTAACGTGGTATCGAGGAAGGATTTTTCTTTGAATTCCGGATTTCTGCGATAAATTATCACAGTAACGCAGTATCGAGGAAGGATTTATCTTTGAATTCCGGATTTCTGTGATAAATTATCACGGTAACGCGGTATTGCGGAAGGCAATTCAAGCTTCCGTACAGTGAAGCCTATTGCAGAAATTATGTATGCAATAACTAATACAGCATATATAGTGTTGTATGATTCCTGTAAGTGCTTAGCAATGGAACGAAAAACAATCGAAACAATCCCGCTTAAAAACCCAACTTGCATTAGATTAGGCCGGACCAGCATTTGTCTCAAATACCAATCAATAATCATGAAAATACTGTAAAACGTCAATTCACACGTTAAAATCCACAATCACTCAATAAGGCCCCCCAAAAAAGTCTCCGGTTTCTGGTATGGAGCTTGCCCCAAAAGTGGTGCGGCGATGCGGCTTTTTTTTTTTTTTTTTTTTTACCTTTTTTTTCCTTTAAATGTCGGCTGATGACTGTAAATGGTGCCCAACTAAATTTAGTGCAAAATGTTTTGGAACCCAGAGAGGCCACATTAAGCTTATACTCGATCGTAACCCCATTTTTAAAAATGTTAAAATTGTGCTGCAGCAGGATTCCAGTCGAGCCAGTGAGTTTGGCGGTTTTGAGACATCATCTTACATTGAAAAAAAAACTTTTTAATTTTGCCGACGCGCATGGCTATGGCGACGCGCGAGCATACCAGAAACCGGAGACTTTTTTTTTTGGCCTACGCCAGTTCCGTATTTCAACTGTGCATGAGCACAGTGATATTGATCACGGGTCATTCGGGATAATCCAATGCTCATCGAAGGCGCATGAACGCGCACAGACCCGGGCACACGACGCTCGCCTGTTAATTACAAGCAGAACGGGCATCCGCGTAACATCGCGTATCATCACGTCAGCTATTTTTCCCGAGTGACCTTCGACATGGACTACTTCTTCGAGATACCAAACTGGCTTATTATACACAGTTGCAAGAAAGTACATGAGCGTAAACAAATTACAATAAGCCTCCGTACTGATGACATCACACTTTGTTTACTTGTGCGCTTTTCTATGTGGCTACGAAACCGTCGTCCCCACCGGGCTCCCATGGAAAAGCACACGACTAAACAAAGTATGACGTCATCAGTCATGTCAGTACATATGCTTTTTCAAAAAATTACTATTACAGGAATGTATAACATGCAGACTATAGTGAGCTTGTCTTACATACGCAGTGTGGACTTCCGAACAAAAGACGTCCACATAATGTAGGTAGCAGCGACGAAGTGTGGACTTGCCCACGTCCACACAGTGTTTCCCCATTTCTGGAAAACAGGTTTAGAGGCATTTTTGGATTAGGTTTATCTGTAGCAGAATGAAGAGAAACACTAAAGGGAATCATTGAAAAAAAATTGGGTTGTAAGAGTTTTCACAGTTTGAGAAAAATGAGTTTTTCCACTGGTGTTCCTTAACTACACGAAAAGAAAGGAAAGTCCACACTAGGTATGTGAAACAAGTCTGGGTGTTTAGTTACAGGTAAAAATGCGTACATATTTATGTACATTGTACATATGGACGACACAGGAAACATACATAATGTACTTCCTATACAATGATTGTTGAGTGTACTTCATGTAGATTTTACCTGAGTGTGTACATACTGTACAAATATACAGTTACTCTACTTTTTTATCTTTGACTTGCAGGTTGGTTTTTATGAGTTTGTGGAACCTCTACATAAATGCAACATCAATGGCAAGGGGCTATTTGTAAGTATTGATTATTTGCCTGCAATCGGGGACCCCCTATTGTCCCTCTTTTGTTTATACATGTACCTTTGTTTATACATGATAGCCAAATTGGGGACCTTCGGGAATTGGGGACCCTATTGTCCTCTATTTTTCAACGTCCCCTACAGAAACAAACTCAACCCTTATACACACACCCCACTAGCAATGCCTGTTCTTGTGTCAAAATTTCCAAATATCCCTGGCAGGCAAGTCGCCCCCCCCCACCCACCCCCCTCCCCATCCACCCTCCACCCCCTCCCCTGTCTGATATGCCTCTGGTGTATGTACACGTACATGTACATGCCCTTTGCAATTTACACACTTTTGTGTGTGTATAAGGGGTGTGCCATCCTCCTATTGTATATTTTTTTGGCGGCAAAATCGTCATTGGGTCAGCAAACTCATGTGTTTGTTGGTATGCTGTACATACTGAAGAGCACCACCTATCATGATTTCATAGTCAGCTTTGAACAGCACCCCTATAAGTGGTGTCCATTTCCTCCCCCCCCCCTTCCCCAACCCAACACCCCCCTCCCCCAACCCAACACCCCCCAACAAATTCCTGGCTACCTTCCAGCATTGAGCCTTGAGGTTCTGTCTGCAAATTTCTTCCCCTCCCCCCCCCCAAAAAAAGAGGAAAGAACAGGACATACATGTACTAATGTCCTACACCAAAAATTAGCTTTTAAAGGGTGAAGTGGTTAAAGCTATAGTCCATCATTTGCAGCCATCCGAAAAGTAATTGGCGTAATTATTGTTGAAAAACAAACTTGGTTGAAAGATAGTAAGGGAACTAAACTCCCTGTGAAATTATTCTTTCTGGGAAGCTGTCATTTTGAAGTAATCAACGAAAGAAGGCATTTCCAACGGTGATTCTTAAGAAGCACCGTAGGAAAATTTAAATAAGTAGTTCGTTTTGTTATTCAGCGCAGCGCGCACAAGTATTGGAACGACGCACACGCGCGCGGTTGTTATAATTCGTCGGATCAGTGCGCGACGCCGCGTATAGCTGCAATTCAAAACAATTCAAAACATGATTCAGTAACTTTTGATTTGAAATTGAGATCTTAGAATGCTGCTTTTCTCCGAATGTACAGCTGAAGCTTAGCTGAAACTTCATCAGGTTAGTTGCTCAGTATCCTTCATTAGATTTTGAACACTTTTGTTGCTTCAAACGAACAAAATGCACTAATTACAAATGATGGACTATAGCTTTAAACCACAGACTTCAAAGAAAAACAGATACAATGTAGCTAAACTGTAGCTTGGATACATATATCTCCTTTTCAGGCTGTCCGGGTATGTGCACTTTTGTGCCAACATGAACATGATCCAAAGAACCACAATTTCCATGAGACCTTGAAATCTAGCCGAGGCCTCGATACCAGGTCCCTACTAAAGAGCTGCTCATTGTCTGTTGTTTTGCAACAGTGCATATATAAACATTGTTCCCAGCATATTGCTAAATGCCGGAAATGTGTCTTCCAGCTTTTTTCCCCTTTTTATTTTTTTTTAAAAGTTGGCTGTGATGGTACCGGGGTATGTGCATGTCTTGAGGGCATTTAAAAGGAAGCGCTGTAAAAGTGATTTCCTTGTTACTAGTCCATGATTTTAGTATGTCACACAACAAGGAAGTGAGTTCTGTGTCGTCGTTAGAATTGGCTGTTGAATGTTACTCGTGTGAACATTCAAGGAGTGAGCAAGTACGGCCGAGTACAGGAATGAGTCGGGCGTAGAAAGTGAAAGCAGTGACTGGTTTGCATTCGGTCAAAAAATCAAGCGCATTGGGAAAAGACAGCTACATGTACACGCACGTACATGTTGTTTCCTCATTCGTGTGAAATGGGCTTGATCGTGGCGGTTCTCTATCTCGCCAAAAGTTAATCTAGGAGTTCATCAGGATCAGTTTGGCATCCCTGTACGTGGAAATCGCACCCTGTATGTCACGAGGACTGACCAGTGGACGGTGTCATCCTAGCTGTGAAATATATAATCACAGATTTTTCCCCAGCTTCACGCACCAGCCTTATCCGCCAACTACCTGCACGTCAGAAGGGTCCTTCCTGTAAACTCTGGTCTTCCCTGCGCTATACTTAGAAAAAAGGGCCGCAACAGGCTACTCAATGTAATAAAAAGCCGCTGGTATTTTTGTGCACGATTGGTGAGACGTGAGGATTGAATTTATACCTGAAACCACTACATCCTGATTGAGATTCCTGTTGACTGGAAATATACCGAAGTTTCCTCCGGTTATCTTTTGTCGGTGTACCGTATTTTATATCACCCTGAAAAAAATCTGTCGTTTTAGGAGCTGTCAGAAAGAAGACTGCAAGGACTCTACCCTAATATGCCGACAGGAAAGTCCGATCCAGCCTCGTAAGTAACCTGATCACTTTTTTTTTAAATTGGTGTCAAATGGTGCGTGTTTATAGTGTAAATCGAGGACACGGCTCACGTGCAACATCATCGATGAATCGAGGACAGAAACCGAATCGAGACTCCTCGGTTGGAAAACGTGTACAAAACCAATGAGAGCTGTTGCGAAAAAGTTCAAGTACAAACAAAGGAAAAGGGAAGAGAAACAAAAGAAAATCCTCAATTTACATCATCAACAAACATGCTTGTATGTCTGAGTGCGCTTGTTTATGGTGTAAATTGAGGACACACACGTGCAGCATCATCGATGAATCAAGGACAGAGACCTAATTGAGGACTCCTCAGTTGGAAAACGTGTACAAAACCAATGAGAGCTGCTGCGAAAAAGTTCAAGTACAAACAAAAGAAAAGGGAAGAGAAACAAAAGAAAATCCTCGATTTACACCATAAACAAACGTGCTTGGGTGTACTTGTTCTACATTACCCCCAAGGACAGACACACAAAGGGAGAACAATAGATCCTTTCAGTCCTCGGGAGTTGGGTCTTTTGTTCAAAATGGTCCTCTGTGGTAGGTTTGTGTGCTTAAAACACAAAGCATTGTCCTCGGGAGTATAGTAAAGCAAGAGTACATGGAGGGGTGTGTGTGTGTGACTGAAGTGGAGTTTAATTTCTGGTTCTGGTTCAACTAAAGTTGCATTCCTGTGCTGTTCAACAAATTCAGTACTTTTTTTCTTTTTGTACATTTTCAACGCGTATGTTTTATTCCAACAACAAAAACTCCTTTTTCCCTTTTTTAGACGTTTCCAACCCTCTGAAAAAAAGTTCTTGTTTTTGAGCACAAACAGATCTGGCTCCCAGTCCCTACATTAATATCGATACTGATTGTTGGGTGGGAACCAGATTACCCAACATTGCATGAAATTTTAGCTGATGACCTCTGATGCAATAATTATCAGCTTTTGAGCTGCAAAAAAAATAATATGGCATAACTGCACGTGTACGCATATTTCTACTTGTTTTGTTCTTTGGATGAAAACTACATACCATACATGTGCCATAGTGGAGCAAACTTAAGCACTTTGAAAACCCTCTTGACAGCTGATGCAGGGACAGGCCCTCAATTAAAAAAAAATGATAAGGGCCTGCTAATTGTTCCATTTATTTTTATTTCCTTCTTTTTCCTTCTTTTTCCTTCTTTCATTTCGGTATTTATCTTAAATATTTTTCCGGTTGCACATGTGTACACATTTAGAATATCCGGGGGTTTTAAATTTTGAGAAGGATTACAGAGATGCCACTCGATACCATACGTCCGCCTGGCCTGGAATGCCTATCTGTGTGTACAGACCCACACCCATTTTTTTGTGTACATGTATGTATGTAGAACTTGAACTTTGTCATGCTGTATGTTGTAATGTAAATAATACGTGACGCATTCTTGCAATTAGCGAGACAGAACTGGGCAGAGGTCAAAATGAAGGTTTGCGGATATTTATTAGAAAAGATAGTTAAATTCTCCTTAAAATTCATACTGTTTGTTGCACTTTAATCGGACATTCCGTTGACAAGTTATGGGTGTTTAAAGTTTGCATTATCGACATGTCAAAAAGTAAAAAACTGAGAAAAGGGCATAAAGCTCTGTTTTGTGGTTGTGAGAAATGAAAGATGCCAATTGATTTTCCTTAAAAAAACACACTTTTATTCCACGATTTGTATCCTATTACTTAATATATGCATAGTAGACATATCAAAGTAAAGACTACAAATATTAATAACTATGAAAGTAAAAAATATAATCACCCCCATTCATTTTTGGCTGTTTCGGCAACCGGCCGAAACAGCCTTTGTTTTCGTAAAAATTTTTCTTTTTTTCGTTTTTTTCTTCTTTTTCAGGCAATCCCCATAGCATTTGTACACGTTTTTACAGTGGAAGGCTCTTTGGGCACTAAAATCAATCCGATTGACTTTATACTCGGCACACACTTCGACCAGCATCTGACGATGTGCGCCGAACATTGACGTCATCATGACGTCATCACGTGACATGTGACCTCATATTAAAAGTGCATATTTTGACGGCCAATATCTACAGAACTACATGTCTGATTATGTTGAATGTTGGTGTATGCCTAGACCGTGATGTGTTATAGATGAAAATTGATGTAACGTCATCATGACGTAATCACGTGACATGTGACGTCATAATTCAAAGCCCTATGAGAATGTAGTCACCTATTATATGTCACCATTTATTATAAACAGAACTACATGTACACATCCTTCCTTATACTTGAAACTTTACATGTCACATGTCACAAAAAGTGATCGAAACAGCCCTATATGTTTGTCCACAAACATACTTGACATCAATCTAGTTTTGTTTGTTGCATTCATCCCTTTTATATTTTTTTATTTTTTTTACGAGAAACCCTCACATATGCCCATGGTACAAAAACAGCTTTTCGGGTATTCAGCGGATGATCGAAATTTCGACATCCTAGGGCATAGCCCTACAATGCACTACCCAACAATGAGGATTTTTTTTATGGGATGCTGGCTAAAAAAAAAAATGGGGGGGGAGGGAGGAGGAGGGGGGAGCAAATTGCATGCACCATTGCTTTTAAGGTTGACAGTGCTCTTCAACACGAACATGTGTTGGTTTTTATACCATACAAACATCACAGAAATACAATAATCGGGGCTCTCTATCAGTCGTTGGAAAATTGAGCTTTTTGAATTGATGATAATTACATGTCGAACAAAGCTACTTGTACAATGTACATGGGTCATTTCACAAATGGGGTCCAATTTTGTGTGTGTGTCCCTGTTACATCTGATATAAGATTGTGTAAATTCAGGACACATTTTTTAATGCCTTCTACCTCCGAGAGTGATTCTGTGAAGCAGTATATATACCTGCCAAACAAATACAAAGTTTGAAACCGATTTTTATTGGTACAAATGTACTTGCGTGGCAAATTACAAAGATAAGGTGTAACAGGGACACAAAACGAATGTCACACTTTTGGACCCCAAATTAATGGAATGACCCACATGTATATATTTGTAACTGTAAGTACTTTACTGTTATTTGGTTTATTTGAAAATTTAATGATTTTCTGAATGTTACATTCATAACATACACATGTATGACAGTGATTTTAAAAAATCAAGATACTAGGCCTATGTACACGCACACGAGATTAGAAACTTTTCAAGGAAACGTAATGTGCATTATGGACATGATGAAGTTTGAAATGGTAATCGAGAATCAATCTTGCGTGCATTCGTATTTATAAAGGAAACAACGAAAATAAATATCATGCTCTCATGTTTACATAGCACCAGTGCCAATTTTTTTAGAAACAGGATCTAAACTTGAACTGATAACTTAATGAGGTTAGTATGTGTAAGGTCAGGCAGGGTCTCCTTTTATAAAGCTGACCCACTTCTATGCGCATTGAATAACCGTAACCATCCCCAACCCATCAAAATCCAACTGCATGTTTTGTTGGAATCTATTGGAGTGAGGACTGCACTGGTAAACTGATTACGCTTTACATGTGGTCAGGCATATACGTGTATATGGGCAATTCTTTGGTAACGGAATTACGGAATTTTGTCACTTTGTCAAGGATTATTCTTTCCCAAGAAAATATGTTCTATGCTAGGCAACTAATCTAAACATGGAAAGGGAGCCAAGACCCAATAGAATTGATTGAGCGCTAAAAAAAAAAAAATCCCACAAGATTACCCTTTAAGGGGCGGAGCTTAATATCGGTAACGGAATTACGGACGGAGGACAAGCATATTTGAGTTCTTGCATAAATTAATAAAACTCTCTGAAGTTTTGAAATTTTAAAATTGGACACTACCTGTTATTCATAGAGTTCAGGGGTGTTGTTAACTACAATGCAGAACAAAGTTGAAAAAAATAATCACTCTTTTCATAATTTGCATTTTAATCACGGTAACGGAATTACGCCTGGGCGGTAACGGAATTACGCCATAGGTTTACATGTAATAGGTAAATGCAATACTTTTACATTGAATTCAACATAAACTCATCACAATACAAATGTTAGAAGTTTATAAAATGCCACAAGGGGAAAGCTAAGTGAAAATTAGCAGATCAAAATGTAAATGTAGGCCTAAACATGTCTGGGCTTCATTTTTTAGGTCAAAGGTCAAGGTCAAATGAAAGCAATATGTATATGTATATTTTTTTTTACCGAGAAAATCTAATTTTACTATGAACAATTGTGTTATCGTATTTCACTAGTTTTTCGTGGAAAATACAATAAAACTGCACTGGTTGGCATCTCTGAGCAAGGGAAGATGTTAAGTTATGCCAAGTAGAAGTACAAGTACAGTCTGGTACTCAACTTTCATATATACTTGTTGTTGAATATATTTTCTGTGGGTACCAGACAACGGCTTTGGCAACACATATTTACAAAATGTAAAGGGAATGTACATCATTGGCTTTTGCTGTAATTTTAAGAAATGAACTATTTGAGGGGTTAGTATAATAGATCAAATATTGTTACACTGACATGTTTGAAGTTTTGCGTTCAAAAATGCTGGAACAACCAAGAAAAACAAAACTGTCCAAGTAGTCTGGTTCCCTGACTCCACTAAAGGTAAAATGGATCAATTTATAGATGCCAGAAAATTGGAGGATAAGGGAACCAGACTAGCTGGCCTGCACCCGTTCATGAACATGTAACAAATAGCAAACAAAATTTGGACTGGAAAGAGTGTAAAGTTGGAGCAGTAGTTGAAAAATAGTTAGGTTTTTCCAACGGTGGTCGGCCGACCACCGTTGGAAATGTATACAAAAATATCATTTTCTTGAAAATTACTTCACACCAGGTGCCATAATTTTACAGGATGCTTTTGACTGTCATTTACCAACATCCTAGTAAGGTATTTTGTAAAAACTTGGTAGTTTTATTTTCTGATGTTTGAAAATGTTGTATATTCCCTTTAAGCATCCAAACAACTATTAGCATTTTTTAAATAGTTAAAAAGAAAACGTAAAAGTAAAAAATATCAATGGAACACCTGATTATTTTTAATTATATAATAGCAAATTTAAGAGGGAAATGATTTAACAAGTAATTTAGTATTTAAAGTTATTGTCCAAGGTTACAAGCAAATCTCCTATTTAATAATATGTCATGTACATAATCTGGAGGAAATGTGCATACTTTGTGCATGCGTAATTCCGTTACCGTAATTCCGTTACCGTTTCGTAATTCCGTTACCACTTGGAAAAATGCCAAGAAATTACTATTTTAAAGTTTTTATTTTTCATTTATGTTTATAGTAGGGTCTTTTCTCAACATACATGATTTGAAGAAAAAAAACAAGAAAATTTGTGAAATAAGTAACTTTTGCCATTTTTTCGGTAACGGAATTACGTGCTAATTTTGACATTTTTAAATGAAGGCCTACACTATATATATATATATATTTATATTTTTAGAATTTTTTTTAATGACCCTGAGTAATGTTAGTAACTTGTAACATCATAAAATAAATCAAATCTTTTCCCTATAACTCAGAAAGTAATACATACACTAAATTTTATTTTTTTACCAAATCTGAAAGTTTTTAATCATAAATTGCAAAAATCACTGTTTTTACCAGAAATATGTAATTTTTTTCAATTTTGTTTTTTGAACTGAATTCCCCATTTAATTGAGGTCTGGAAAAAGTACAAAAAAGGTTTAATATGTAAATATTTATTTTTGACATTTTTTGCTCTCCCATGGAGAATTGCCCACATACCACTGTATTATCAGAGTACAACAGTTTGGGTGTTGAGTTATGGTGTTGAGTTACGGTGTTAGACTTTGTAAGAGTGAGGAAGGATCCTAGTGGAATGGGTTAGGGTTTAAAAGCAAGGGATTGCAGATTGTCTGCTTGCACTAGCGCTGTGCCGAATACAAACATGGAATATGCCAAATATTCATCGTCAATCGAATATCAAAATGGCTTCTTTTTTTTAAATTCAACTCTTCGAAAAAAAACTTGAGCGGTCTTTAGCGAGGCAAGAAAAACGTCCACAACACAATTCTTTACATGAAATTGTTATAGGTTGCAAGCTTTTTGTTTGCCAGATGCCACACTTAAGTGTCAAAAGCCACTTTGGTGCATGATTTGAGAGCTCTACATTTATGTAATTCCGTGAGATTAATTAGCTCGAATTTTCGACTGTAAAATCAAAGTAAAGGCCATTCTGTCAGCCAGTCCACTACATGTACCTCTTCTTTAATATGAGGCCATCAGCCTCAGTCAAAAATTTTGGCCATCGGTATCAAGTGAGGGGAATAATCGTCATATAGAGATTTTTGGCAAGGTACAATGTATACACATCCAGAGTTGGAAAATATGTGATAGCATTGCAGCGGTGGCAGCTTTTTGGGTGTTAGCACCTTTTTTTTCTCAAAATTTCCATCAAAATGCTTGTTACCACTCTAGGGACGGTATACCTTGCGCATGCGCACTATATAATCAGTTATGCCATGATCTGATACTGACCAAACCCCCAGGCTGATAGCCTAAATTATTTTAATAAACTCTTTGTCAATTTGTGACAAGCGCAGGCACACTAAAATCCTGATTAGTGGCCAGTTACGGTAGGCTGGCACATGTTAGACTTGATCAGCGCATTTCGAATATATTAAAATATTTGATCAAGTCCAAGTTCGAATAACTGAATGCTTGGCATCACTCTTTTGAATATGGACATTCACATTAGCATATAAAGCAAAAAGGCACCAAAATGCCCTTAAAAATGGCAACATGAAAATTGAAAATAAGGTTAACTGGGACACAAAAAAGGTACATTTTCAAGGATTTCATTAAAAATATTACATCACATGGGCCCTATTATTAAAGCCAAATTCCAAAAAATGAACAATGCATATGATACTGGTACATTTACATGAACTTCTGTGTACATTCTGTTTTGTTCTCAGCATTTCAATTTTGGTTGCTGTGTCATGTTTGTGCACCTGCTTTTTCTTTAAAGGGAAGATACAACATTTGCAAACGGCAAACATCAAAAAAACGAAATGATCAAATTTATCAAAAAATTGCTTACTGGATGGTTAGGGAATGACATTCTAAAGCACCCTTTTAAATCGTGGCTCCTGGTGTGCTGACATTTTCAAGAAAAAGGTATTTTTCCAACGCTGGTCGGCCGACCAGCGTTGGAGAAAACTGTTTTTTTTTTCCAAAGGTGCTCTGAATTTTTCATAATTTGTTTTTCCGCATTTTCTTTGCAATTGATTACACACCTGTTAAAGGGTACAAGCCTGTCGGACTGATTCTCTGACCTTACAGTACACCAAAGTTGACAAACTGCTCCGTTTCATCTTAAGTGGGGTCAGGGAACCAGACTCCAAGAACATGATGTTATTCTTGGTTTTTCCAGCATCTTCAAGCCCAAATCATGAAACAAGTCAGTTTAACAATATTTGCTATATGACATTCTAATCCCCCAAATCCATTTACTACTGAAAATTGCAGTAAGAGCAAAAGTTGTATATTCCCTTTAACATATTTCCAACGTTTGTATTTTTATCTTTAAAACAGAGAGCTATATTATATGAACATTGTTGTTGTTAGCACGTCCGGTCTCAAACGAAAGTGATACGAATGATGTTTACAATTGTATCACATCATATTTATACCCTGTGTGGATATATTTTCCAGCATCTTCAACATGTTCAAGCCCAAATCGTGAAACAAGTCAGTTTAACAATATTTACTATAACATTCTAATCCCCCAAATCCATTTACTACTGAAAATTGCAGCAAGAGCAAATGTTGTATATTCGCTTTAACATATTTCCAACATTTGTACTTTTATCTTTAAAACAGAGAGCTATATTGTATGAACATTGTTATTGTTAGCACGTCCGGTCTCAACCGAAAGTGATACGAATGCATGTTTACAATTGTATCGCATCATATTTATACCCTGTGTGTGCATATTTGTTCTAACCAAACCCTTTTTCTGTTACGACAGGATGTTGTTTAAACAGATAAACAAAGTCAAGGAAAGCAGAAGAACTGGCAAGAAATCCATGCTGTCATTCGGGTAAATTTATAGCCGATGTGCCTTTTTAGAAAGACATGTAAATAATGAATGTTATGAGTGCAATGTGACAATATATCTCATGAGTTGAAAAATGGAATGTTCCATTCAACGAGGCAAAGCGGAGTTGAATGGAACATTCCATCTTTTAATGAATTCATTACAATTCATTACAATTCAAAACATTTATTATTTGTTTAAGATGAAGATTACATGTAATACTTATACGCCCAACAATTTTCTAAATAATAGTAATAAATAAATTGATTTGTACGTATCGCTTTCTACAGGTATTTTAAAGCGCTCTTGGCTGTCTTAATATTAGATTTTTTATTGGGTTAATAGGCCACAGAACTAAAAACTGTGAAAACTAAAGTTACGAGCCAAGTGTGTTGCCATGACAACATAGTTCATCCTTCAGCAGAATAGAGCAAAAGCCCATAATTGACTCTTGTTTTTCCGTACATGTATCGCAGATGGGGAAGTGAAAGGAAACCACCTAAGGCACCGGTGCCCGACTACAGACAGCCCCAGACAAACAGACAAGAATCTCGGGATGGGCACGGCAGCGAAGGTACGTACGAAGGAACTGTTGAAGAGGCCTTTTCATACTATGTTCTCGCCTGCCTGCGTTGAAACACGGGTCCGCCATGAGCAGAATTGGGTCCAATCGAACAAGGGTCAACAAGGCGTGTCACACGTTCACACCTGTATCGGATTAAACACGGGTCAGCTGTAGATTGTGGCTTTTCTACCCAGGTAGAACATCTCAACCCTGCAGCCGATTTCACGAAACAGTGCGTAACTTGCGCCATGCATAAGACTTATCAACAAAATTTTTGCGCAGCTGCACAATAACCTTACGATTGATTTCACGACATTTGGCACAGTTATGCAATATTTTAAATAATCTTAATATCTTGGGCGAGGATAATAACAGCATTTACAACAGCTGTTTGTGGACGATTTTGTTCGGTCATGAAATAGTCTTGAATCACCTCCACCCGCCATTATGAAAATATTTTGGTCCAAAATGGCTAAACGTAGACACGGGGGTGTGTGGCCTGGTGATTAGGGTTTGTGACTTGTGATCAGAGGGTCAGGGGTTCGAATCCAGCCGCTGGCCATATGTTGTGTCCATGGGCAAGCCACTTCATCCCACTATGGGTACAGATATTAGCTGGGGAGTAACCTGCAATGGACTGGCATCCCATGCAGGGGGAATAGAAATGTTCTCAGTTTGTTTCATGCTACTGAAACCAGAGATCAACGCCGGCCTGATGGGCCACATTGGCTCATGACAGACTTTACTTTTAATCTTAAGGTCTGCTTCAGAGGCAAATGTAGTTAATGTTAATCTTTTTCTGTCACTTCCGTATTGTTCAAGTAAAGCATCTCATGGACAGCTGACATCTGTGATTAATTAGGTGACAGACCATTGATAAATACTGTATGTATTTTGTTCTTAACGCTTTCTTGGTCGCTTGCGTCCACCCTGTGCACCAGTATTACATATGTACATGTATGTTGCTTTTGTGGTAATCCTTGCAATATTCTTTGTACATGTAATGTCTCACATGTGTGGTGTAATTTGATTTAACACGAAAGTGAAACAAAAATGCCTTAATGTTTTTATGTGTTATGTGTTATGTGTTACATGTAAATCATGTCTGCATGTGTGCAAAACAATGGAGTAAATGTTAAAATTCCTATTCTAAGCTATCTTATTATTACTTACATGTACATGTACATGTACATGTACATGAAAGTGAATGTAAAGTGCATGTGCTGTATATTTGGGGAAAATTCTTCTAAATAATTATGATGTGCAGTATATGTATCTGAAGACTACGTGTACAGTTCAGCAAACAAAATCAGAAGCCATGGCACCATGCTGGCGGGTCAGTATAAAGACATCGGTGATTTCACCTTGGTAAAGGCTGGGCCTAAATTCATAGCGCTGCTTAAACAGCCGACTTTGTGCTTACCGAACCTCCATCTATTTCATAGGGACCGTTAAGCAGTAAGCACAGCAAAAGCACGCTTAACCCCAGAAGAAAACTTTGCTTAAATCAGTGACGTAACAATAGAAATCTCCATGCGCGCGCAACCGTTAGCATGAAATAGTGCTTAAGCAGCAGCATGATTTTCTGCTATAGTAAGCACAACTTTTCTGCGTACTGTTTCTGCTATGAAATTGGGCCCAGGTCACCAAATTAGTCTACACATGCACTTTACACGTACAAAGTTAGCATTTGCAGATTTATGTAATATCCTTGGTTTCTTAATTGCATGATTTCTTTCGATGCTGTACTTGCTTATGAACTACACATATATACATGTATATGTGTGAATATTCACTCTGATTTTGCATTGAAACGATGTAAATGTTTTGTTTTCTTGAAACCATGAAAACATGTTCATAAGTTGATTGTTAGGCGTAGTGGGCGAGGCGAGGCCTCGTGTACAATATTACTGGTCTCAAAATGGTTTACTTTGGGTTTCTTTTTATCTCTGCAGAAGAAGGCTGGGGCAGTGATTTCAGTGAAGAAGAAGAAGTGAGTACAGCTTTTTGGCACAACAGAGAGTGATATTAAACGATAAAAAAATCTCAAATTGTGCAATTTTTTTTATGGTTCTGAAAAGAACTGAGGGAATTCAATGGTTTGGACAGTATGCTCTGCCTGTTGTCAAGGGAGAAAACACTGTCAGTCTCCTGACATAGGGCAGAGCATCCTAAATGTCCGAATTTTCTCCCGTTTTTATTTTTTTCTGAACCACTAAATCTCACAAAAGTGATTTCTGTCACAAGGTACAATTATATGAACAGGTGTAATAAATAGCATTTGAGGTAGTTCATTTTTTGAGTTCTGCAAGTACATTGAAATTACACAGCATTACTCCTGATTTCATGATTTTTTTTTTATAGAAGTCCTTTTGAAACTCAGAATTCCTGAGGTTTTGGGCAAATACATGGCTGTTGAGCTCCCGGCTATCCTCAAACCCTCTGCAGATCATTTCCCCCCCCCCCCCAAATCTCACCCATGAAGAATCTGAGTATTTAGAAGAAAAGATACAATGTTGAAATTGCACGTATCGAAGTATTTGCAAATGGTTTTTGGCTTGAGTCCATGTCCAAATCCTGTTGCAGATTCCTCCGTATTGTGTCAGGCGGTTTGTCCAAACACCCAGGGCCCAATTTCCTGGCTCTGCTTACCACAGAATTCCACACTTACGATCACCATTCTGTGCTAACCGCGCTAGCAGAAAAATTCTGCGCTAACCCTGTAAGCACACAATCCTTAGTTACGGGATGTACACATGCGCAGAAGTCAAAATTCCTTGCTAACCTGTGAAAAACGCTTACCGTAAGCACAGAATGTTCTGCTATAGTAAGCAGGGATTTTTCGCTAACGGTAAGCAGAGCCAAGAAATTGGGCCCTGTTCTCAGTGAAACGTTTTTGGTACTCGGGCTTGAACTCGGAAATGGACGCAATTCCAACACTGACAGTGCATCTAAACTTCCTTTTGTCCTGTCATACCGTCAACAACAAAAATCAAAAGGTCATGTTTACATGTGCGTGTGCAATGTATATCAGTTTGTTTATTCTAGAAGCAGGAAGGCGAATACCTGTACATGTACTACATGTAAATGTTCCTTTTCCTCTGCGCTTTGTTTGTTTTTTTGGCAGAGTCCAGAGTTTGACCGATCGGAAGATGTTCACCCATCACAAGGACATTCACAGGGTAAATAAATCTTTGGGTTTTTTTAATTCAAGAAATTGAAATTCCCCCCCCCCCCTTTCGATCTGCTGATAGTAGGTACATGTACATGTACTGTAGTGACCCTAAAATGTAGTTTTTTTTCATGGCTCTAAGATGGAACTGTTTGTCAATGCAGTGGTGCATCACCTCAAGCCAAGATGGCGAGAAAATCCTTAGCAGTGGGTACTTTCACCTGCATTGCATATCAAAATGCGCAAAAAATCACTCAACATTGACAAATTATGTCACTCTTTGAAGCCAGGAAAACAAAAATACAAAGTAAAACAAACGTAAAAACAGAGGACAAAACCTGAGTTTGGAATAAGCATCCAATCACATCACTTCTTCAATTCAAACGTGCCCTCTATTCAGGCACAAAGTTCATCTTTCGAAGTCTCTCTTTCTCTTACTTTTAGGTCGTGCTCCAAGTTACAATGGGTCCTCTACTTCTTCCTTCACCAATCTGGTATGTACATGTGCAGTATCGACTAACCAATTACAAAATTCTCATATTTCATGTACATGTAATATTGGATGGCTTCGAGGGAGATACAACAATATATTGCATGAGCTATAACATTGTCATAATGAGTGCAATATGTTCTTGTATCCCCTGAAAAAAAGCAATCCAATTTTATTGTTTTTATTTATATCAGGCTGACTTTATCCGAAAGAAGTAGATTTCATGTTGCTGTCTTGTAAACATCGCCGACTGCTTCCTCAGTATTTTAACGTTAACTTCAACAAAATACCTACTGGTGAAAACTTTTCCAGCATTGCTAAACATGTCAGTGGCTTCTTCTCAGGCAGATATACTCACAGAATATTTACTAGTGTCATCTTGGTTGCTTTCCAGGTATTTTCAGTGTCTTTAGTTCACAAATTTTGTTGAATTCTTCACTAACCGAAGCAAATCTGGCACCTCTCATAGCTCTGTAATTTTTTTCTGACAAGATGGTACCGAATGCGCATGCGAGCCCACTCTTTTCACTGGTTAACAACTGTGGCTTTGTTGCACTCTTGATTGTGCGGGAACCAGCAAAATTTGTCCGGGAACCAGCAAAATTTGTCAAAATGTCTGGATGAGGACAATATCAATAATAATATTGTCCTCATCTGGGCCCTTTCTATGAAAGAATGTATCCAAGTGGATCGTAACCTCTGTTGCAAAGCTCTCTGCTGTTAGTACAGTAGTCAAATACATGAACTTGGCAATTACAATTTGTCGTAACTTGAGTGATACGATCATTATTCTGGACTTTGAAAAAAAAATGGGGAAAAAAAACACATAGAAGTTACTGGGAGAGATGTTTTTGGTGAGTTCTGCCAATGTGATGACATTGGTGAAAAGACATTCCAGTTTTTCGATATGTTGCTATCAAATGTTGTTTGTAAATATTTCTTTAATTCCTTATTACTGATGGTCTAAAATGCACTGTTGATAATGATCTTTATATTATAGTGTCTCAATATTAACCAGCTTTCAAGTCCTTTTTGCATACATAATTTGCAGAATGTCACAACTAACATAGCTAACGTGAATTTTAATGTATAACTTATAAGCTCATTTCAAAGAGTTTTGCCAATGCGATGACAGTGGTGAAAACACATTCCAGGTTTTCGATATGTTGTCATCAAATGTCGTTTGTAAATATTTCTTTAATTCATTATTACTGATGGTCTAAAATGCACTGTTGATACTGATCTTTATAGTGTCTCAATATTAACCAGCTTTCAAGTCCTTTTTGCGTACATAATTTGCAGAATGTCACAACTAACATAGCTAACATGAATTTTAATGTACTTATAAGCTCATTTCAAAAGTTTTGCTGAAGATTTGTTAAATCCCCAAATCTTGTCAAGTGAAGTGTTGGCAAGTGAATGTGAAGATCGAGCCTTATTAGAGTATTCTGTCTTCAAAATGAACTTCATTTTGCAGCGCAAGACCCCTGTCTTCAGAAGGGAACTGGCCAATATCCTTCTGCGCAAGCAGCGAGCAATAAGTGACCCAATGCCGGGATGGCCGAAGAAGCACTTATTTTCACGCCCTCAAGTAACAAAAATGTTGATCGCTTTTACCACACAATCACAAAGTTTCCATTCCACAAAGCTTTTTGTGTGCGGGCGCAGTGATGTCCATTCCGGCTTTTACCTTTTAAATCTTCAGCATTCAGCTCCACCTCTTCCCATGACTATCATCACTATTCATAAATACCTAAGACAGTTTACGCATTCCTATTGGTCGAGAGCTTGTCACGTGGCCGGTCTTAAACGGATGATAAAGACATGGCTAGCTGGTCTTAAACACTTCTCCAGTGTCACAATAAAATGTGGACTCCTAAAAATCCAGTGCCTCTTACCGTTTCATTGGTTGAACGTTCACAATCCTCACGTAGGCATGCGCAACACTACCAGGGAGTCAGAATTTTATAGTTCTAAATTCAATACGCAACGCGCCAGGTGCGTTCTGCGCGACATCGCACAAAACATGATACGCGTGCGTCAATCTCCATAAAAGGGTTGTTTACATCTTACTCGCCAGCTGAACACTCCATTATTTTGCAAGAGGGATGTTTCAGAAAGCATAAAGTGAATTTGTTGAACAAAATCAGGATGTTTTGAACGAAATTATATATTTTTTCTTACCGAAAAGGTATTTATGAATGGGAATAAATATGTGCTCCGTCGGTATTTATCACTCTGTTTAAGACCACTTAGAGTCTGGGTGCTGATAATTACCCGAGCCAGAGGCTTGGGTAATTATCAGCACCCAGACTCTATGTGGTCTTAAACAGAGTGATAAAAACCTCCGAAGCACACATTTATTCCCTTAGTAAAACATTCTCACATCACTCCTGTATTAGCAGATCTCCACTGGCTGCCAGTATTATACAGAATCAAATACAAACTTGGCCTATTCGTTTACAAAACTTCTCCACAACAATGCGCCGGATTATCTCATCCAGCTCATCCACCCGTACTCAACAGCACGCACCGGACTCCGCTCCAGTGAGCTCATGATGCTTCATGAGCCCAGGACCTCCTCTCTTTGGGGTGACAGATCCTTTACTGCAGTCAGCCCGAGTGTGGAACCAACTCCCTCTGGCTATCAAATCATCTCCATCCATCACAACATTTAGGACAAACGTAAAATCTCACCTGTACAAACAAGCTTACTCTCACAACACACAATCCTAACTTGACTTTCTGCTCAAGCGCCACGAGCGCCTTTTTAGGCGGATACCGGCGCTTTACAAACGTTCTTTACTATTTTCATTTGGTTTAATCGAGATGTCCCATATGCATGGCTAGTCTTAGTATCACCCGTTGTCCAACTGAGCCTAGGCCTCTCCTTAACCAACGTCTGATGTAGGTGAGCTATGTAAATTGTATGCGACCCCGCGCACCAACCCGTCGGAGTCAACTTTAGAAATTGTGACATCATTTCGATCAGAAATGTAGACCGAGCCGTTAAGTTGGCTGACATGTTTTTGTAATACAACAACGGGTTACCGAAGATGTAATAAAAGGAGCCCGCTGCATGAATGGTCAGAATCTCAAGGTCAAGATTTTGTCTTGTTTTGCAGAATTAATCGCGGAATCTGCTCGCATATCATTATAGTCTTGCTGTACAAGGGGATATTCCATTAGACTAGGGCAGACGGGCATGGGGGAAGAGCCTACCAATAGAAAGTCATTGACATTAGCCATGTTGGCAATGTCATGATAAAAAGTCACAGGAAAAGTACAAGTATTGCATTTGTGGTTTTTTCTGCCGACTTCAGATAACATGAGAATTTCCTTCCTCATCGTGGGTTATTCATAGCCAAGAATTTTTTTCTGGTTGTTAACCAGCATCTTTAATAGCATTTAAAGGTAAAAACAAAACGAGGGTTAGGCAACAACAACACAAAAAAAAGTCTCCGGTTTCTGGTATGGAGCTTACCCCAAAAGTGGTGTGGCGCGTTAAAATTGTGCAGCAGCAGGATTCCAGTCAAACCAGTGAGTTTGGCAGTTTTGAGACATCATCTTACATTGAAAAAAAACCCTCTTTTTTTTGGCCTTAGGTGTTTTTTTTTAACCTCATCTATTTTAAGTTGCCGAAGAAATTTTTTATTATGATATTTAACAAAAATCTTGCCTCACACCCTTGAAAACTGTTGTAGGAGTTAAACCCAAAAAAAATTTTTTGAACTAAGGCCAAAAAAAAAAAAAAGTCGGTCTCTGGTCAGCGCGCGCGTCGATTTTAACCATGCGTGTCGATCTTTTTTTTCTCCAAAATGTTCCGCGGTAGCTCCAACAGCGCCCTCTATTTGCGCACCTCCTCAATTTTTTTTAACAAAGAGCACCAAGGAATGGGAAATTGCACCAAGGCAAATGATCGAAAGCACCAAGGCAAATTATGGAGGACACCAATGTACATGAGGACACCAAAAAAGCAAAATAGTACCTACCTTGTCTGTACAATCCAAGCTTGAAAAAAAAAAAAAAAGCAAAAAAAAAAAAAAAAAGCCGCGTGGCCGCGTCAATTCCGGAACTTTGGTCTGACCAGAGACCGAATATTTATTTTTTTTTGGCCTAAGCTTTATTTTTTTCTCCAACATGTCCAAGAATGAAATCTTGCCAAAGAAAACTTGTATTACAATATAACAATTCTTGGCTCACTCCCTCGAAAATTTTTCTAGGAGTAAAAAACAAGACAAGATTTCTTGAATTATTATTTTTTTTTCTAGCATGTAATTTTAATCAGAAAAACCATGTTCGCCAGGGTGTATGATCATCTCCCCCTTTCTTTTTTGAAAATGTAGCTCCACCCCTAAAAAAAGGCAATATCCAAGGTAGCCCCTACTCCAAACTGATTTTTGTCTATTCTGACCCAAAACGCCAAATATCATACTTACGGTACGCCACAAACATGACAAAGTGCACATCTGATTCCAACGTAGTGGCTGCTCAACCAGTTCATCGTGTCAGCATTATACAACGGTTGATATAGCATTCAAAGTATAGATCTCCAATCAGTGTTTTCATGAACAAATCAGTTTTCATTGTCATGGTCAATTGCATGCATGACATACATTTCGCTCGTCCCCCAGCCCTGCAAACAGGACGCTGGGATACTCTGATGAGCTTCACAGAAACTTGTGAAGGAAGTGGCCTATGACCTATGTATAAAGCATATCTGTCTGCAGCGGTTCAAGTCCGCAGTTAGACAATGTGCGCAAATGCTATCCAAAAACTTCCCATAGAAATGCACACATTCCATATCAGATGTAATTTCTGCTTCATTGCGGACCATGTGGACAAAATTTTGAGCATCGCATAATGCAATCCGACCGTCCGTGATTCGACACGGAGCCTGAGCAAGTGACGGGAATTGTAAATTTACAACACAGATAAGTTTTACAGAATTTCCAACATTATTATGCTTTTCAACGAAAATAAAACTGGAATAAAAGAGTAATGAATCAGTCTTAACGGCCGTTTCAAACCTTGCAGAGTCATGACCGTGATGACGCGCAGGTCACTGATCACGCAAAATCCAACCAATCAGAGCGTGAATTCATCAGAGTATCCCAGCGTCCTGTTTGCAGAGCGGGGGGTACGAGCGAAGACATACATGTTTGAATATTCCTTATTCTAGAACAAAGAGGGCGCTGTAACAGCCAGACATGCAGCTGATTTCCTCATTGTTCGCTTCACACTTATGTCATTCAACATTTAGAAACACTGTATGAAGTCTTGTAAAGCTTGGAATTTCCTCTTTCTTTTTTGGTTACTGCACCAGTAGCATGCCTGCACAACGCAATTTTGGGGGTTTAACACATTTGTTTAAACAGACCTGTATCCAAGGCTATTGACATACATTTCATCTTTGCAGTCATTAAATTTTTTAGATTTTAGTACGGGAACTGCTTTAAAGACATAGTCCATCATTTGTAATTTGTGCATTGTGTTTGTTTGAAGCAACAAAAGTGTTCAAATATAATGAAGGATACTGAACAACTAACCTGATGAAGTTTCAGCTCAGCTTCAGCTGTACAATGTATATTCCGAGAAAAACAACATTCTAGGATCTCAATTTCAAATCAAAAGTTGCTGAATCATGTTTTGTATTGTTTTGAATTGCAGCTATACGCGATGTCGCGCACTGATCCGACGAATTATAGCAACCGCGCGCGCCTGTGCGTCGTGCCAATGCTTGCGCGCTGCGCTGCGCTGCGCTGAATAACAAAACAAACTACTAATTTAAATTTTCCTACAGTGCGTCTTAAGACGCACCGTTGGAAAGGCCTTCTTTCGTTGATTACTTCAAAATGATAGCTTGCCAGAAAGATTAATTTCACAGGCAGTTTAGTCCTCTTACTATTTTTCAACCAAGTATGTTTTTCAACAATAATACGCCAGTAACTTTTTCGGATGGCTGCAAATGATGGACTATAGCTTTAATGAGCAGGATTTTTCTACAGTTTGCATCCAGAAAATTGATGTAACATATGCCCTATTGTCGTGCAGTTGATCATCATTCTTTGATCTTTGTGTGTGCAGTACTACACAAACACATGGTTAATTAAAACATCCCAATTCCGACTTGAATCAAGAAAGCTCATCAAATCAAGTTAAAAGCATAACAACTCAGCCCTTGTCACCTAGTGCAAAGTGAAAGCCATGTGGCATTTTCTACATATAAATATCCAATTTTCCCCATGAAATATGTTCTGCAGATAAATTGGCTTATTATCTACGGTTCTCGCATGACCCACGTGACCCAGTACCGGAAAGTCACCTTCGCCATTGTAGTATAGGCAAAGATTGTATAGCACTGCGTACAGTAAGAAGTACGGTAGGCACGCCTTCAAAGCTGTGATGGATGGCAAAAACTGTGAGAAAAACGCGGAGCCAACACCCAGTGTTTGGTACTGGTTGGCACGATTATGACAACCATACCCGGCACAGGTGACCATTTTAGCACAGGTAGTGACCATTATGCCGTTTGATATTATTTTACGTGAAAATAATCCCCACTGCCTAGTTCACAGCACAAAACATGGTTGCTAACCAAATGCTTGCCTACTGCAATGATGGCCAATCACAGGGAAACCGGATGGTCATCATGTTGTACTTTGACGTCATACGATCGGAACCTACATTGTACAAATTCAGCTTCAGCCTACATGTATACATATGCATGTGTGTTATCACAGCATCATACATTCATCAGTTTCTCTGAAATTATGGCCCGTCTGAATTACCCGCCTATGGCCGTGCATTGACACACTAGTCTATGAGAATGGATTCAGCCGTTTCCATGAGGTCATGTGTGATGGCCAGTCGTAGCCATGTAATTCAGACCCGGCCTATCTTACACAAAGTTTATTAACCCTCCTATGCAAACATGCATTCTGTGCCAATTAGTCTTTTCAGTCAAAATCAAACAAGTGACTGTTTTCAACAGTTGAGAATTCCCAGCCTACCTAAAGCAGGATTGACTGGCTGGGACTGTTTTAAGTAACTTGATACAGCTTTGCTTTGACTGTTAGTAATTGATAAGCCAGCTGTGGCCAAAACATGCCTGCTTTGTCTGTTCATGGTCTGTTGACTGAGTTTGACCAGTCACAGTGCTTGCTTGACATATGATCTGACTGCTGGTGACTAGCCTGTGTTAAAAGTATAGCAGGGGAAGGGGATGGAAATGTTGACTGCCTGTGACTATTTAAATAGCAGGAGGGTTAATAATAAAATATGTCTTCAGGCCGGTATATCCTTCGCGCGAAAGTGAACTCAAATGCAAATTTGTGACGTCACAGCAATTGTTTGTGCTGTGAATTTGCAAAAGTTGAAATACACATTCCAACTCTGGCGAATTCCGCAGTGAAAGTTTCCAAACATAAAATTCACTTCGCACTTGCATTTTTGTGAAGTACCGATATATGAACTGGCCTAAAGTCACTTACAAGCGTACATGTTCATGTAGTAAAAATCACTAGTCAAATTCACACTGTTTTTCTTCATTTCAGAGCTCCAGTGCCTCTGTGAAGGATGACGACTCCAGCATGTTGTACGAAGCCCCAAACCAAGGTACAAATCACGGTGTTTTCGTCAAAAGGATTCCTGTTGCAATACTGCTATGTACCTGTGTTAAGGCTGGGTCATATTTTGCGTGAAAGAAATGCGCAAAACTTAGAAAACACCCTGGCAAATTTTACATCAGATGTTTTGTTGGTGTCAAATTTGCTTCACATTTTCAATTGCGATGAGAAAGTGTTAAGACAAACACCCCAGAATGACTTGGTTGCATAAGGGTTTTTTCCCCTTCTTTTTTTGTGTTTCCAAATTTCCATGGTTCATGGTGCCATTTGTTTTTTTTTTTATTCCCAATCTTTTACAATTTGAAAAGGTACAATGTGTACATGCATGTAATTGACAAATTGATATGTACTTGCAGTTGATGTGTGCATTTTCAAATTTTCCAAATTTTAGATTCCACTCTTTGATGGATTGGATGTACATACTTTATGTACTCTTACCCGGCCAGAATCTCATTTTATCGAAACGAAAAATTGTAAACTTGTACAAACACAACAAAAAGAGACTTGATGTTTGGTAAAGTTTTGATTGAAAAAAATTGTTCACTGTCGTGGCATATTTAATGGGGAAAAAAATCACAAAATTGGAAGGTCTCATTGACAAAATAAATTGTTGAAATTCTTCTGATTGAAATTCAGTTGAACCTTTTTATGTGCAGAAACTTGTCTTATCATGTTTTTTATATTTGTTTTTTTTTCCCTCCCATTTCCTGCCGTTCTTTTTTCCCCTTGCATTGCACTTTGTTCCTTTCATCCCTCGCTCCATCCTGTATCCTTACCACCACCATGCCTGTGACTGTTCAATTAACACAACCATTCCAATCACCACTGGGGCCACCTTGCCTGAAATTTACGTTTCCTCATCATCTTCATTACCATCACCACCATCACTATGATCATTTCGACTCACTCCACTATGGCCACCTTGCCTGAAATTTACGTTACTCTATTTTGTTGCACAATACAACCTGCTTTCCTTATCACCACCGTCCTTGACTCTGTGATCATTTTGACTCACCACTGTACTGTGGCCATCTCGTCTGAAATTTGTGTTTGTCGTCATCGTTGTTATCGACTTTTAGAAGGAGATTTTGATCAGACATATGAAGTGCCCATTGAACAGTTGATGAACTCGAACTCGTATGGTGACGGTAAGATTTGTGTTTGAGTCCTCCGTGTCCAGTCCCGTTTTGTGTCTCATAGATCCAAGTCAAAACAGTTGAGTTTCAGTACGAGACTCTTTGAGTCTCCAAACAAAAAATAAGTTGAGTCATGATCTTATCCAAACTTCAAATTTTATAAAATGGAATCCTACGTTTGTAACAGTTACAATGAAACTGTATATCCAGTCTGCTGACTCCAAACTTGTTGGAGAATGTAAGCATACTATCCAGCTCCCCATCCAAATCAAAATATCTAGGAATTTCAACTTTTAACTGCAAAACGCCACCTTTTAGTAACAATAGAGGGCAGAAGTGGTCAGAACTGTAATACTTCTTGTGGTCGTAGATGGCGAGCATTTACAATCTTCTGGTTTTGGACAATTCACATGTTACGTTGAAAATTCAAAAAAAAATTGTGATCAATTTTGTTCAAGTACTGATTTTAAAAGAAAATATCTTAGGTTGTGTATGTTGTTGTGAACGACAAAAAGTCTGTTCCAGTGCCATTGTACACTGGAAAAAGTGTTGTCATACAAAGTAAAACTTATTTGCAAATGTGTCCACTCAAAATCCCGAAGCTAAGTTTCCAGATTGTGACTTAAAAAAACAATAAGTATTGTTTCATTTCTATCTTTGCATTGAGAAAATTAATTCATTTATCAATGTATTTGTCTTGTGGAGGGTTCATTATTATTCTGCTTGAACGTGTTGAAAATTGGTGAAAATGACATACTTGATAAATTTCATTTCTAGCTTAAAATTCCCTCGGGACGCGGGCTACTTTTTTTCGCAAAGTATATTAGAACTTGTGGGGTTTTTTTCAGCAGGAGAGAAATAATCTGGAAAATCTGAAACCAGACTTGAAATACAGGACTCGCAGTTCATGAAAATAAATTCCACATTGGTGTAGTTGTACATTTACACACATGTTTGATTTTTCATGTGAATGGTCATTTGTGGCACGCATTTTTCCCACCACCTGTTTTGGTGCATGAGAACAATTGGATGAATCGCAAACCCCCTTCATGACCCCCTCCCCTCCCCCTACCCAGCCCCTTCCTCCCTTCATCAGGTTCATCTTCAGACTCCCCCTAAACCATTTCCCGACTGTATTGGTGCGTGGTTCCCTGCTGGATGACTTATAAGCCTCATTTAATTAAAATCCCTTTTTTTCGCCCCTTTCTTGAAAATGCATTTATTTTAAGAAAAACGTGTACTTGTATTTTTACTCGGGAGTTAAAGTCATTACCCCGTGATTTTTTTCAAATGTTCAGAAGGAATTTGATGTCCTTGAACAAATTTTTTCTTTTTTTTTTTTCTTAGCATTTCGAGGCAGTTAATGATTCCTTAAAAACATGAATAGGACTGCTGCAAACTGCTTTCTGACTGTATTGACCTGAAATATACAGATCTAAACGAGTAATGCAGCCTGACGTTGCGAACTTAACGAAGTTCTTCTTCAGAGGCCTTGTTAAGTTCGCAACGTCAGGCCGCATTAATTTGTTAGATTCCTTTAAAAAAAAAGAGGTCTGTATATTGCGCTTGCGGTTGAAGAAATTCAAACTGAAATATAAATAGTGGTACTAAGTTGAACCTCTTGAACCTTTTGGTGAGATTGATACACGAAGCACGAAACAGTAAGTGTGTCCCGTCCATGGGGCTTTGAAAGTTGTAAAAATATAGCGCCCTCTTTTGTTTGCGCACGGAGCCCGTAGAGGGCTCTCGTTAATGAGACATCCCTGTTAATTCCTACGCATGTAGCAATCCTCAAAAAGAATTGTTTGTTCGAAACCAAACTGACGGACAAGTGTAACGATCCATATCGGACCGGCCCAAAGTTCCAGCTAAGTATTTTCAGTGGGGAAAACTGTAGAGTACGGAAGTGTGACGTCATTTTGAACCGGGAAGTGTAGTGCAAATGAATGGATTACGCGCGCGTGCTGGTTCACGGGCTGAATCACGCCCTAATGTCTAGTACACACCTAATTGTGCGCGTGATGTATTCACTTCGGTACTATATTGGGTCAAACGCTGAAATCCTCCATTCATTTGCCCTGCTTTTGATGATGTCAGTCTTGTTTACTTGCGCAGGGGATTGTGACGAGATATACGATTTTCCACATGAAGACGAAGAAGAAGACAACAGAAATAGTAAGTGCCATAAAAAGTACTAAAAGAATTAGCAGAAAACTTTGAACTCTGTGCACAGGTACTACCTCATCAACACTGTATATTGATCAGCGCTGATCAATGAAAAACGGTTGATCGACAGAAGATTTATTTTTTGCCCGTTTTGGTTTTTCAGGTCTGCAGCCAGGAAGACCACCTCACAATGTGAGTATATTCTAGACAATCTGTAAATGTGCTTTTAAAAAAAAAAAATGTTTGACATGCACCTGCAAAATAAGACTGAACTAAGTGCAGGCCATAACCTAGAAAAAAGTGCAAACAGAACAAGCCCTTCTTGTCTCCTTTTTTGTTTCTTCTTGTTTGTGAGTATTTATGATTTAATCGTTATTTACGATTTTATGGCAAAAGTGTGGTACCATGTTAAGACAAAACGTTCTGATATTTTTTGTTTTTCAGATACCGGGAAGAGCGAGTCCATTGCCACCAGTGTAAGATTTCATTGAATTCTTCATTTTCCCTCTGTAACCCTCACTCCCTCAGTGTCTAGTTTTTTCTCTTGGTACCGTCCTAATTCAACTTTAATGCATCAGGACCAGATTTGTTGAAATCCACTTCTGGTGCTGGTGGATTTTGATGGACTTGGTACTCATAGCTTATCTGCCAAAATCCCCCCAAATATGGGGATGGATTTTGATGAAGTTAGTGAGGTTAGTGTTAGAAAGCCTCTGGGAGGTTTCAAAGGAATTTACATGATTGAGGCAGAATGGAGCACAGTGTCACAATACATGAAGCTTGATGCAATTTGAAAGTTACAATTACAATGAAATGTGTCAAGGATTTTAGAGGATTCAGGAAAGTTTCCAGTAAAGTCATTGTTCACTTGTAACCACAGCCCTAACCATGGTGCTAGTGACCATTCATTTCCTTGTGCTCTCAGTTGACGGATTTTGTTAACTCGATGACCGTCACCCGGGTTCAGTAATAGACCTGAGACCTAATGGCATAATGGCTTTGTTTACAAATGCGCTTTCCTATGGGAGCATAGTCGGGATGCCAGACAAAGTAGGAACCTTCTAAGGTAAAGGTAACGGTCCCATAGCCATTACTGGCCGTAGGGGCAGTGGGATGTTAGAGGTCCACTGTGTCTTGGGCACGGCATATGAGTGGCGGTGCCCAGTCCTCTCCTCTTGCCGTCTTACCTTCCCTGAACGAATCAGGTACCCATTTTACTGTTGGGTCGCCAGGGAGAGTTTTCCAGTTTTTGGTCTGAATGGGATTTGAACCGCCAACCTTCCACTCCGTAGTTCCACGCTCTAATTGCTCGGCTACAAGGCCCCTCTGAGGGAAGGGACCTTCTACCACGTAGCAAAGCGCACATGTAAACAAAGCATGACGTCATTAGGTCTTAAGCCTATTCCTTGTGGGCATGACCCGTGCACATGAAATGTGCTAGTGGTGGGAGATATCGAAGATTCAAAATGCAGTTATTGATTCGCATGGTGTCAACTTTAAAATGCGCAAGAAAATTGCATTTTTTTACCAACATATAAAATTACCAATAATAGGATTATTAGGATTAAGATAAGTCTGCTATAGGTTGCAGGTGTCATTTTGGAATGATAAAAATACTTGTGATTCTGACTTGGCCAAAAATAAAGAGGGGCCCGTAACTACACAATCACCCTGATGGTTACAAAGAGACAGTTGGGAGGGACAATTGACTTCACAATGGGAGGGACAATGGTACGCATTGGCGCCATATGCCTACCACTCACACAAAGACCCTACAGGTATGCGGACATTCAGTCAAGGAATTAACCCTTACCCTACTAGACCCTCCAACGCATGCCAATATGTGCCTCAAGAAAATCTCCTATGTTTTTTGCATGGCCCTCCAATATCTGCCATGTCATTTCAAGGGTAACTGGACAGGCACTCCAATACATGCCACAGAGAACAATGAGAGTCCTCTGATAACAATCAAGTGCCCCCAGCTGGTCAGTATCAGGCACCCTCCAGGGCCTCCAACTCCTGCCAATTGGAGCCTTCACTGCTACATCAAAGTATCCTCCAATTAACTGCAGCTGGAGGGCATTGGCATAACCAACTGACATGCAGTAAACTACCCTCAGAGAGTAAGGGTTAATCGTGTGTTATTCACACCGTACACATGCACATGAACCAATGGGCTTGTGTACGCGGAGCACTCGAAAGCGGTCCAAAAACACCATTTATTGTGCATGCACAAGACTTCGTTGCTTCTGTATATCTGCCTGCTAGCAGATTTGTAACTGAAATTTGGGTGGTTTTTTTTCTTGGCACAGTTCACCGCGACATGAGCGGCCGTTGCCAACCCTACCCCCATCCCAGCACTCCTGGCAACAGCCTCCCCCTCCGCAGCAAGGCCACAGACTCGCTCCTCACACACCACAGAGGCCCTCCCAGTCCCCACATCACTTCCAGAGACAGTCGGATATCCCTATCAAACAGGTATGTCACAACTAAAATGTGAAAAGTATTATCTCCTTCTTCTGTTATACTTGGTCAACAAAAGCCTTGGTCCTTAGTTACTGACTTCTACCTGGTACAAGTCCTTCTGGAGCTGTGTTCACATCAGATTTTTTTTGGTAAAACGTTAGGAGACTGTTGTCAGCATAACCAAATTAACCCTAAAAGGGCCGGGGGGGATCCTTCCCCCCCCCCCTCCTCATTTTTTTCTGTGATAGCCTTAAACAAAAAATTTCCCGACCCGAGCTGTTATGACTTTTCAGCTTCGAGCCTTGCGCATATTTTTGATACCAAAAACATAAAAATTTGACTGGGGGTTGCCGTGTAGCAAAAAAATTTCCGCCGCTACACGCCGTGAAAACTTAATTTTCCCATATACGTACATATGAATAATTAATTAGCCATAATTCCAATACCCTTTGACCTATAGTCATGAAATTTCTTGGGTATGTTCATGATGAGTTGCTCTAAGCATGTACAGAGTTTCAAACATTTTTGTCACTCCATGGCCGAGATCTTAGGGTCAAAATAACCTGGCCTGATTATGGTTAAGTCTAGTGCGGCAGCTGGTAAACTTTCCAAATTGTCAAGTGTCGACTGTCGATTTGTAAGCTTTTGCGTGGATGGTTCTTTTGTCATTCAATTCTCAAGCTTCCCAACATGTCATTAATTCTACCAGGGAGAAGATCCTTGTAAAAACTTTGTCTCTCTCCTCCTTTGTTAACCATATGCACTGTCATCGGACAGCAGACCTAAATTGTTACAATTCACAAGGGAATCGTAAATTGAAATGTGTGAAATGCATTTACTATGCGCACATACGAGAATAAGTCATTTGATTGTAGAGCCGTTCCTTGACATCATCAAAATGGGCTCGTAGCAGATGCTCCCCTCGGCTTTTGTTTTGCTTCTGGCTTTTAGCAGAGCTTTCTAACTTTTGGTTTTTTTCATGGCTTAAACTTCCCTTAATTTATATGTAGTTTGCGTTGTAGATTGTTTCAAATATATGTGACCCGCTCTGCAAGAAAAGGTATCATGTCGCCAAAAAGTGAAATTGAGTTATATGCATGGTTGGAAAGCCCACAACGTAAACTTTCATTTGGTATATATTAGAGCTCCATTGCCCCTCCTGTTCTTGAGATATGACTTTTGCAGATGAGTTACTGCCTTGGAGTTCCAATTACACAACTTAGAAAACAGGCTTTGAAATAGCTGGCTCTGTTGTAGATTTGGGCATGTTGCACTCAAAATTGTAGTTTTTCCCCACTTTAATCATTAAAATCAAACGTTTCTGTGAATGAACCCTCAAACTTTAGGTAACAAAGATGTCATTCATGACAAAAAATTTAAATCACATTTTGACGAAATGTTCACCCTCTCAACATTGGGCGGGCCTTTACACGATAATGCACAGTGCGACTTAACACCCTTTTCTGTGGAGCGGGTCACAATTATAATCTTCAAAATTAGTCAATGTTTGCCACCTTGAATTGACTGATCTTTATGGATGAAGTGTAAAAGTTGAAAAAAAATTCCTTTTTTGAATGTATTTTTGGCAATACAGGAGGAAGAACAGGAAGAATATGAAGTTCCCTGCATAGGTAAGAATAGCGACAACCAGTCAGTTTTCAGTAGCATTGGTCACTGATGCTGCTCTTAGCATTGTGACTAAAATCAATACACCATTAGAATAAAAAAAAAAAACCAAGGAAAGTGTACCAAATAATGTGTCTGTTAACTTAACTCGCTTGACTCGGACTCCAGAAACCTCAAATTTTTCCCATTCCCTCGAGGTTTGACTTAAAGGGAAAATACAACATTTGCAAACATCAAAAAATAAAACTACCAAATCATTTGGAAATACCTTGCTGGACTGTTAGTGAATGACAGTGTAAAGCATCCTGTAAAATCATGGCACCTGGTATACTGTCATTTTCAAGAAAAGTGGTATTTTTGTATCAATTTCCAACGCTGATCGGCCGATCAGCGTTGGAAAAAACTGGCTTTTTTTCAAATACTGGCCCCAATTGACAATCGCACTTGTTTGCAATCGATTACAAACCTATGAACGGGTACGAGCCAGCTAGACTGGTTCCCTGACCTTACAATTCCCCAATGTATGTAAACTGCTCTGTTTCTTCTTATATGGAGTCAGGGAACCAGACTACAGGAAAATGATTGTTTTTCTTGGTTTTTATAGCATTTTCGAACCCAAAACCTCAAAAAAGTCAGTGTTACTATATTTGCTATATATTTCCAACCCCCCAGTTTCGTCCATTTCTGAAAATTACAGCAAAAGCAAATGATGTATATTCCCTTTAACAGGAGTTTACTGTTTACTGATTTAGTCTGTCCCAGAAAGTATAGATGTCGATGTTCACGTATACATGTTATGGGATACGGTGTACGAGGACCAAAGAACAAAAGGAGGGACTGATTCACAAGTGACAGTTGGTCAATCGGTCAGTCATTCAGCCAATCATCAGTCAATCGGGGAATGAGTCAGTCGGGGGGGGGGAGGGGGGGAGGGAGTCAGACGGTCGGTCGGTCAGTCAGTCAATCAGTCAGCCAGTGAGGAATAAAAAGGACTGTAGGCTGGGACCCGGCAAGTCATCAGTCTTTAGAAATCTCTGTACCCTGCTAAAGTGTAGTGGAATCCCATAAACACAATTACACTGTATGTCAAAAAATTCTTCGCATCAGTGCAACAATGTCATAACTCGAATCTGCAACAAAGTTGTATCTCACGTGAATATGTTCCGTGCAACAATGTTGTATCTCGCGTATCGCAACATCCACTGACTATGTGCATACATCCAGGTTATTTTAAAGCCAGAGTCCATCATTTGCAGCTATCCCAAAAGTTACTGGCGTAATTATTGTTGAAAAACATACTTGGTTGAAAGATAGTAAAGGGACTAAACTCTCTGTGAAATTATTCTTTCTGGCAAGCTGTCATTTTGATAATATCAACGAAAGAAGGCCTTTCCAACGGTGCGTCTTAAGAAGCACCGTTGGAAATTTCCGTTCGTTTTTTTATTCGGCGAAGCGCGCGCAAGCGTTGACACGACGCACGCGCGCGCGCAGTTGCTATAATTTGTCGGATCGGTGTGCGACATCGCGTAGCTGCAATCGGCTCATTGAGAACGTGTCTTGGACGCTGAATTCAGGCCCATTTCAAAACATGATTCAGCAACTTTTGATTTGAAATCGAGATCCTAGAATGTTGTTTTTCTCGAAATATACAGCTGAAGCTGAGCTGAAACTTCATCAGGTTAGTTGTTCAGCACCCTTCTTTAGATTTTGAGCACTTTTGTTGCTTCAAGCGAACAAAATGCACAAATTACAAATGATGGACTATACCAGGTACCTTTAAGCAAGATACGACCTTTTGACATTGAAAACTCGCATTTTACGTACATGACGTCAAAACGCCATTATAAGAGATATGGCCTTGTTGCATGGACACGACGAATTGTGGTTGTGTTCAAGTGTGCCATTTATGTCACATCTGTGTTATCAACCCAGTAATGCTTGTATGACCACAAGTAGACCCAAGTTTGCAGTTTCTTGTGTTGGTTGGTCTGTGTGTAATTGTGAATATGAAATGTAGTACGAGCAATGTCGGCGAACAGGCTGCATGCTTAGTTACAACAGCTTGAACTAATTTTGAAAACTTGGGTTTTTTTTATTTCCTCAGCGGAACTGAATCAGCCCAACTATGAAGCTCCCATAATGGACACACAGGTAGGCAGGTTCACGATAGTCTACTTGTAGGGCCCGTTTGTTTCCTATCGAGATCATGTGATCCAGCGCCATGCGAAAACAAACAGGACCACTCTCGCACATCCAATCCTTTAGGGCGCACACGACTGTTGCCTGCTTCAAATTTTTTTAGGCAGTGGGGCTATTTCTTTGATCAGCTATTTATAATAGAAAAAGTAATTCAATCTTTCTATTTTTAATTACGAAAATACATTCTGAAAGAAATATGAAGAATGTATTGTCGCAAAAGCTCAATTGATGCTTCAAATCTACTTTAAAAAACCTCACTTTTTCTCTCCGTCCGTCGCGCACGTCGCCATCTTTGATCTTGCGAATCCACCTCCCGAGCAGGATCCGTTAAAACGTGATCCGGAGCAGCTATCAACGCGTCGGATCACTCATCGCGATCCGGATCTGCATGAAACAAACGGGTCCATAGTTTGTTCCTAAACAGCATGCAGGGGGGCAATAGCATGTGCAAGTCTCTCCAGTCCACGTTCACTTTTCATGTGAACATCTTGGCACCAAACAATGACACTAGTCTAGTCACAGACAGTTTGCTTAGTATTAATCAGCCTTTAAATAATGAAATGAACATCGCAACTTATACACTCACCCAGCCTGATAAATGTTAACACATTTTAAATACATTCCTGTTATCCAATAGGAAGAAGAGGAAATACCCGAAGAGGAGTACCTTGTTCCAGTAGCAGGTGAGAATAATACAGAGTACAATAGGCCCAAACTATAAACAAGGCGAGTATAAGAAAAAAGGAAACCCAAATGGCAGGACCAATTATTTAATGAAGTTCCGCATGTAGCACTTTCAAAATCTAGGATATGAAAGCCCAATTCATACACTTTCCTTTAGTACAATAATCATTCAAATCACTCATGTACTTTTCAAGTTACGGAATTTTGAACATGCACAAACACTGTGTTAAAGTTTTGTCCACGGATCACTCAAAAAGGTAAGTGTTCTTTCGGCAAGGCGAAAAACAATTCACACAGGGATTTCGTAAAATAAGATTTGAAAGTTTGCATGGCGGCGGTGTAAACTAGTGAGGGTTTGCGGTGATATTATGTGGTACAATCTCTTTTCAGAAGATGTGTGGTTCTGAAAAGAACCTATTGGTTGTGAAACTCGACGCTCAGATCTGTAAGCTCCGATCGTCTTCTGATCAGTATGCTGTGATCGTCTTCATTTTCTCCTGAAGACGATCACAGCATACTGATCGGAACGTCGAGTTTCACAACCAACCGGTTATTTTCAGATCTACCCATCTTCTCAAAAGAGATTCTTCCACATGGTGTCAACACAAAACCCTCACTAGTTGGCACAGTTATAGTGATACATGTCTCCATTACGGCACTTACTACTCCTAGGCTTTGAGCACAATGTCAAGCAATTGATCATTTGAAAAGCGATATCATTATTACGTTTCTGAAAAAAAAAACATCGATTCAGTATGCTGTGAAATTCCCCAAAATTGATGCTGTTTAAAAACAAAGCAATACATAAGTAACATGTAGCAGAGATGCATAACACACAGCAGCGGCATTTTATTGTGCACTTGCAAAGGAATTGCTCATGCATATATCTGTATTGAGATATTGAGATCTGTATTGAGATTTTTACCATTTCCTGATATTGTTTTGTCTGCTTCTCATCAGATGGCACAAACTTCAAGCCCCAGAGACCGCACTTTGGTCGTCCACCAGCCCCACTCCCCCCGACACCCGGAAGTGGAAGTGGAATGCCTCCCCCAAGGCCAGTCAAACCCCCTGAACTGGCCGTCACCCCTACCCGGCCTCCTTCAGTGCCCGATGAGGGGCCACCCCCGCCCATCCCCACGCGGCCCATCGCCCCCCGGACCCCCATCGAGAGCAAAGGATTCAGCAAGGTCCTCCCCGATCCGCCCCCTCACGTCATCCGGGAGGTCCTGAACAGACCCCCCGAAATCCCCCGCGACAAGTCGCCCATCCGAACCGGCCCCCACATGAGCAACGGGAACGCCTGGCAAGACGAGAACCGGAATTTTGTACCCCGGAAAAAAACCTCCGCGGGCAGTGCCCCGAAACTGCCCCCGCCATTGCCAAAGACCCTTCCACGGGACGCGGAGCGGGCTCCAGAGGTCAGTGAGAACTCGGGCAGCGGCAGCGGCACCATCGGCAGAAGGTTGCAGCAGTTTCAGGGGGCAGCCGAAGACACAGAGTCCATGCGGCCGCCGCCGCTTCCCAGGCCGCTAGGGAATAAACCGGAGTTGTCAGCCAAGCCGAACACAAACAAACCTGTTCAGTCGTGGCTGAATACGGCCATAGCGGAGGCTAACAATCAGGCAGCAAACGTGCCCAGCCTTCCACACACCCCAGCATCGTCGTCGGCACATGCACCTCCACGACCAACTCCTAGATCTCGGTTACCCGCAGAGCCTCCGACGAGCCCCGAACACAAGCCAACTCCCCCGATTCCCACCAAGGAGCCTGCCAAACCAATCAAGAAGTTCACTCGTACGTTGAGAAAACTAACTTTCATTCCACATCGCTTTTGTTATCATTCTTCTTTATTTCTAGTGGACCCCGTGCACAAAGAGTAGATGGTGCATTGTGACCACTTTCAAAATCGCCAGTGGAAGGGAATTACTGCATTTGCTAGCGTAGGGCGCGATATACGCACAACTAATTTTGTTCTGAGTGTGCACAATCTAGGGTGTTTGTATGAGCATCTGGCGCCGTCGGCAGTAAGTGAAAATGTCTCTCCCGGCGATCACTGTAGTATCCACACATTTACTTTGTTAATGACCTTTCAGGAGCACCATACATAGTGAATGGCCTGTATGCAAATGAGGTCAGAAACTAAGTCTTTAGATTTAGAAGTAAACCAGGATCGCAGATCAAAATGATACGTGATATTCATAGGTACCGTGGCCACGTCACTCCTGGGAGAAGGATTAAGTGCCGAAAGCCTGACAACCCAATTATGAGATAAAAATTTGCATTGACTTGCTTTTGTAAAAATGTCTACATTTTATTCACTAAATTGACCCCCCAAAAGTGAAAAACACATACTTGAGATTGTATTCGTATTTTGGGAGGTTGTAAGAGTTTACGGATTCAGAGAAACTCAAAACCTCAAAATGGTCAGTTCCACCCCAATGTGACTTCATATGCCCCTTGTGTGAAAACAACTTTTGCCAGTTTGTCCGGGGCTCGTAGGAGCAGGACTCATTTTTGTTTCAAACTCAATTTCACTCTGAAGCACCTGTTGTTTCAATTTGCCCCAATAGCACACAGCAGCAGGGTGCCAGACCTTCCTAAGCAGATACCCGCAGAGGCGCCACCAGCTCCCCCTCCTGACCCAAGAACCATGCCTCAACCTCCCACGAGGGTAAGACGATGTTCATGGAATTGTTGATGGCTAGATCAAAAGTGTGCGCAGTAATGGTTTGTGTTACGATTATGGATATTCACGAGCACAATCTTAGGGACCGTTAGAAGTGATGGGAAGACATATTATCTGTAGCAAAGCCAGACATTTCTCGGGGGGGGGGGGGGGGGGGATGACAAAACAAGTTCAATATTAGGACCGTGTTGATGGTTGCAACCACTCCTGCATAATGTGCGCAAGTGGGCCGTGTCCGGAGCACATTCAGCTTATTGATCATTATGCGCATTTACCCCCCTCCCCCACCACTTTTTTTTTGGGGGGGGGGGTTGGGGATTTCAGTAGTGGGGTCAGTAGGTTCGCTCATACCCCCCACCCTGCAAACAGGACGCTGGGATACCCTGATGAATTCGCGCTCTGATTGGTTGGATTTTGCGAGACCTGTGACATGCGCATCATCACAGTCATGACTCTGCAATCTTTGAAACGGCCATTAAGACTGATTCCTTACTCTTTTATTCCAGTTTAGCGATGATTTTTTTTTCGTTGAAAGGCGTAATAATGTAGGAAATTCTGTAAAACTTATCTGTGTTGTAAATTTACAATTCCCGTCACTTGCTCAGGCTCCGTGTCGAATCACGAACGGTCGGATTGCATTATGCGACGCTCAAAATTGTGTCCACATGGTCCCTTATTCATGAGTCGGCCATATTGAATTGAAAGTGAGGTAAAATCTTAATTTTTGGAACTTGCGAAGAGAAATGAAAGCAGTTAATTAATTCCAGTCTGCTTCCTATCAATGAACAATTTCAAATTTGTAATTAAAAATTCCCTAATGTTTAAAGCCAGATTCATAAATACCTCAGACAGTTTAGCTATTCCTATTGGTCGAGAGCCCGTCACGTGGCCGGTCTTAAATGGATGATAAAGACATGGCTAGCTGGTCTTAAACACTTTTCCAGTGTCACAATAAAATGTGGACTCCTAAAAATCCAGTGCCTCTTACCGTTTCATTGGTTGAACGTTCACAATCCTCACGTAGGCATGCGCAACACTACAAGCGAGTCAGAATTTTATAGTTCTAAATTCAAAACGCAACGCCCCAGGTGCGTTCTGCGTGACATCGCGCAGAACATGTTACGCGCGCGTCAATCTCCATAAAAGGGTTGTTTACATCTTACTCGCCAGCTGAACACTCCATTATTTTGCTAGAGGGATGTTTCAAAAAGCATGAAGTGAACTTGTTGAACAAAATCGGGATTTTTTGAACGAATTATTTGATATTTTTTTACGGATAAGGTATTTATGAATGGGAATAAATATGTGCTCGGTCGGTATTTATCACTCTGTTTAATACCGCTTAGAGTCTGGGTGCTGATAATTACCCTCGCCTCGGGTAATTATCAGCACCCAGACTCTTAAGCGGTATTAAACGAGTGATAAAAACCTCCGGAGCACACATTTATTCCCTTATTAAAAAAAAAGAAGAGTCAATTAAGGCTGCATTGTGCCGGCATAAATAGTCTGCTGCCATCCCATTGAACAGTTAACATTTAATGAAATACGTTCAGGGAACGCGACAAAAATGGCCAACTCGTGAATAAGGCCCATGCCTTCTGTAACTGTAATTTTTTTTATTCCTGAACAGAATGAAATGACGGGCTTTCCATGGTATGATGCTGATCTAAGCCGTGACGAAGCAGTGCAGATCCTCAAACAAGCCAAAATGGTAACTAATAAACGACCTTAAGTTAAAAACTAATGGTTGATTGTGCTTGAAATGTGACATATCTTTCTTTTCTATGCAAATGGTAAAAGCTTCAAAACTTTTTTGCTCTTGGACCAACTTCACGCGAGTCGTGTTTAATCTTGTCTTCTAGGATTTGAAGACAAGTTGCTCTTGTTGGATTGGTCCAAGATTGGTCCACGCCAAGACTGATCCAATGAATCTCTAATTTCTTCGGGCCATGTTCCTGTAAGAGAACAAAAATCCTCTTTCAGGTTAATGAAATTACCAAACTAGTTAGCGACATTAAAAACCAACAGGTATGTCGTAGATAGAGCGCAGGGTTAAGAATTTATGAGGAAAATTTTGTGGGTTAAATGAAAATGAAACCAACAAACGCAACATGAAAATAAAGATGGCGAGCACCGCGACAGTACACGTTCTGTTAAAATCAAACATAGTAAAAAATTTCTCAGAAGCCAAAAATTTGAATTTGCTGATTAAGAGCACGCACAGTACATCTTTAAATACCCGCAGAATATAGTTCAGTTTGTTGGTGAGTTGGTGGGGGTAATTTAGACTGTAGCTGCCTAGGAATAAGTGGAGAATTCTTCAAATCGCCTTCAAACCAAACAAACAGTGTCCTTCAAATACATGGTACCACTTTTTCAAAAGGACTGTCACTCTCTTTACCAAAAAGACAATCCCAGAATGGAACCTCCTTAATCTTGAAACAAGAAGTGCACCGGGTGTCAATACATTCAAAAGTAGGATAGACTCCAACAACCTAAGAAATCTCACTGCTATTAGCCCATCTCATAAATTACTTTGGGACTTGCACACGACCCGACCAACGTATGTGACAACCAGAAGATGGTGTCTGAAACAGAATGTGATATTAACCCTAACTCCCAGCCTAATTTACTAGGAACCGTACCCATTCAGGCAAATTCCAACACCCACATGGGAAATTGTACACACACACTGTTGGACTTCGTTTCTGGAGGTATGCCAAACCCAATGTAAAAGACCATCAGTTTAGGGGTACTATCCCAACAGATTTAAACAAAACCTGCTGTTGAATTTTGATTGGTTGAGTTCGGTTAGGGTTAAAGAGGCAGTAACTTGAGGTTCATGCGGAGGTTCACCGAGGTTGTTAAACATTTTTATGGAGTACCTCAGAGGTAACCCAAAGTTTTGCCTTTTCCTCGTACAAAATTCATCTTTTGGTATTTTTTTCTGTCAGGATGGTGCATTTGTTGTCCGGAACAGTACCAAAGGAGGAGACAACATCCCCTACTCGCTGTCTCTCTGGTTCAACAACAAAGTCAGGAACCTACACATCCGACTGCGGGACGACGGCAAGTACGCTCTGGGCACCTACAAGGACAACGAACAGGTGAGATAGCCAGAGGTGACTGGTTTGGCAAGCTGATAGATCTCTCTCAAAGATGGCCGTCTCTGTATGAGAACTCCAACTGCGTATTTTATGCAACCAAGCACACATTGGGCAGTGTTGAAATGTTCCAAATACGCGGGCTTGTTGCTTGAAATGTGTTCGAAAGACGACGCAGCCGATGCGCGTTATGCAAGTTGACGCTCAAAATGCCAATGCATGTTGCTAGTCTTTACAAAATGACGTCATTTGATTGAGACCTATGGTGACGTGGTTTGTCAAAACCAGAGGTTTCTGGGTAGGGTTGCACCACGGAACCGGGTAATGTTATTATTATTTTTCTATTTCTGGTAATGAAACCAAGGAATCCTCAAAAGCGCCCTTGGCACTGTAGCTCACAAGCCTGAAGAAACCTGTAAAGAGAAGACAATGAGAAGAAGTTACAGTTTCAAAGGTGGGAGGAAAGCCCGTGAAAAATATTCTGAGTAAAACCCACGGAATCAGGTGGGGACTGAAAACCACATCCACATGTGTACCAGGGCAGGAATCGAACCCGGGCCATAGAGGTGGAAGGCGAGGAAAGAAACCAGTCCAGTTCCCAACCATTGATGTCGGGAACCATTCCAGATTGTGGGAGCAGAAACAAAATACCCAAAACCAACTGTTACTTTGTTACCAACTGTTACTTAGTAACTTCTCAGACGATGAAAAGGAAAGGTTTGAAAGTCATTTGTGTGGAAATTTCAAAATGAAAACTGGGCTACATGGGAAAACAAAACATCTTTCACGTTTATGACCCTCGCGAAAGCTGCAGTTTACACCGTAAGTCTATAAAGCTCACTGTACACACCTGTACCTTTCTGTACTGACGCACCGATGTGGTAGTATTATCGTGCAGACCTTTACGAACAATCTGAACAGCATCTTCCGCGAATTGAACTTTAGAGTGCACCACTTACATTCAGTACAGTTCCGTGGGTACCAAACTGTAAACAGCTACAAGTACCAGGTTCCCACACTAACCCTAGACACGCACCCCTACCTGTCCTCTGATTGACCTGTGATTACAGAGGGACCCCTTTCCATTGTTTTAACCTGTTAAAGGGAAGATACAACATTTGCAAACTTCAAAAAACGAAATGATCAAATAATCACGAAATATCTTACAGGATTGTTAGGGAATGACAGTCTAAAGCATCCTGTAAAGTTGGGGCTCCTGGTGTACTGACATATTCAAGAAAAACTGCATTTTTCCAACACTGGTCGGCCGACCAGCGTTGGAAAAAACTGGCTTTTTTTTTCAAAAAGTGCTCCGAATTTTTCATATTTAGTTCGTCTGTAGTTTTTTGCAATTGATTACACACATGTGAAGACTACAAGCCTGCTAGACTGATTCTCAGACCTTACAATTACCCAAAGTCTATAAATTGCTCCGTTTCATCTTAAGTGGCGTCAGGGAACCAGACTACAAAAATATGATTGTTTTTTTTTGGTTTTTCCAGCTTCTACGAACCCAAAACGTGAAACCAGTCAGTGTTACAATATTTGCTATAACATACTAATCATCCAAATCCACTTGTTTCTGAAAATTGCAGCAAAAGCAAATGTTGTACATTCCCTTTAACATCTTTGGTTCTTGCTATAACAAACTGACAGAAGTCTGCTTGACTGTCTTTTCCTTCCCGACTGATACAGGTTTTTGACACGGCAGTACTTCTTATCCAGCACCACATGACCAGTCCTCTAATCTTGGCCGGAGACGCGGGCAAGACTTGCCTGAAGGTGGCAGCGCCAAACTTCCGCTGATAGCGCTAATGGGTTTTTTTGTGGGCGCACTCCTTGATCGGCAGAAGCAGCAGCTTTTGTTTTTCAAGGCCGCGCCCAAGTCTCTTGTCAAGAGCTATTTGTCTCGGTCTTTGACAAATTACAATGACCTGAGGAAATGCTGAGGGTTGATGGAGCCGTCGCCCTGGAAGCCGGCTTCAGGCATGGCCTAACTTCCCGTTGAGCCACCTCACAACTCCAGTGATTGGTTCAAAGTCAGCTTTTTCTGCCCACAAAATTGACTATGCAGGTCAAAATTGACTATGCAGGTCATTTTTGTCAATGCAATTTCTCGTCTGTGTGTGTTTCTAATTTTATCCTCTACTTACACATGTGTGAGGGTCCTACTTTGAAAACTTGTTACGTCCAGTGAAATTATATTTACAGGATTTTTTGTTTGTTTTACAATATTTCTCAACATATTCATGATGATATGATCAAATTTTGTGTATTATATTTTATCTTTTAGTTATATTCTGTTTTTTAAGATTTGTTTTTTATATATTTGAAAAGGATATGGGAACTGTTTAGAAAGAAGGGAAAAAAAGCTGTGCGGATTATATAAGTATTTTTGCAACACGTTTTATTTTGTGTAGTGTGATACTTCCATGAAGTTTGGGCATGGCGTGATGCTCAGTTGAGATTGTGTACAGTAAAAGCAAAGCACAGTATGCTTATATTCACTTTTAAAAAAAAAGATCAAACTAAAATTTGTTTGCTTTCGTACAAAGTACATGTATGCCATTGTTACACCTTATGTTATGTACTTCAGTGAAGAGCGTATACCATCATTAAAGTTGCATTCCCCTGTGCTTTTTCTCTTCTCTTCAATTTTCACCTCGAGAAATATACCTTTTTAAGAATTCTAGCAAGACAAAAGTAATTCACTTTTAAATAAGACATCGATCGGAAAACCTATTTGCCACGTTTAGTTGTTGTTAGTTATTACTTAACAGATTTCCTGATGACCGTGATTCCTTTGCCGCGCGGCGGCCTGACAATAATTCCATTCTTGCGAGGTAGGCTGGTTCCCGCCCTGAATTAGTATCGATAATGTATGAAATGGGAGCCAGTCTGCTCGCACGGCAAACCCGTTTTTCAGATTTGTTTGGAAGGGGGGGGGGGTTAGGAAAAAGCGTAGGGAGTCTTGCCGAGTGAAGTTATTGTACGTGGGGGGAAAAATTAGCTTTTCCTTTGCTTTATTGCGTGAAAACTGTAGTTTTTGCTAGAGCTTCAAATAACGCCCTAGATAGATAGAAATTGGCCTGTTAACCCTAACTCCCTAGGAGTGTGCAAAATCATATTAAAATTGGAGGTGTCGGGACGGTTAGGGATAGCATTTTGTTCGCGTGTCCAAGATGGCCAATCTAGTGTCCTCGTTGCGCCAATATCACTAACTGACTCATTCTGACCGACTCATTGACTGACTGTCACTTGTGACTTTGGTTTGGTTGGTCTGTGACCAGACTCAGACCTTGAGTGCTGAAAAACATGCAAAACGAAATCAGGCCAACTTTAATCAATCTTTAGTCAGCAAAATTCTCCAAAATTTTCATTGGGCATAGAAAAGTTCCTCAGTATTTCACCAACCAAGTTTGAAGAATCAATTCAATTTTTAAAGGAGACTTTTTTGTTCAATATTTTGCACATGAGAGAGAAGTGGAGTGATTTCAAAGGGAGGCTAAAGACTAGACTGGTACATGCCAAGCCATTGTCCAACTGTTTGAAAAGACTGACCTCTTCATTCATTATCATTAGTCTGGTTGCTGACTATGGAGAAATGGGTAGCAACAGAGACTAGTACCAGACATGCCAGATGTTTCTTTTGGCACAATTGATTGATGCAGTCCTGAAGGGTTGTTGGTTTAGGTGCCAGTCTTTTTTCTTGTACGGCATTTTTTTCAACGGGGACTCTCATACACAGTATTGAGAGTCCCAAATTTCGGACTAGTCTGTGACCATTTTAACCGGACTTGCCAATTCTTGTTTCATACAAGATTTTATTTCTTGATGTTTTTGAGGGGGAAAATTGAGTCGTTGCTGGTGGATTTTGTTCTTGGCCTACAAAGTTTCCAGCAGAACGTGGGAACGAAAGTTGAAGCTGCTGATGCAGTTATACTTTCAAACTGTTTTTTTCCCCAATAGAATGTTTGGTTCCTAACTATAAGCCACATAATTTGGTTCCTAACTATACATGTAAGCCACATAATTAAGTTTAATGTCTTTCTTTTTCAATATTGTACATATTTAAGTCTTTTGTTTCCGTGTTGCTGCATTATATTCGGAGTTGATCATGTAAAACGTGATTGTGAATGTTGTCAGACGAAATCTATAGAAGTGTCAAGTGAGTTGCCTCACTATTTTAAGGGTTTTTTTTCAAAATGGTGTGGTTTAAGTTTTTAAAAAAAAGTACTTATGACTTTTTCCCCAAGATTAATTTTAAAAAAGGTACTTAAATCACTCGTTGCCTTTCGGTATTTGAAAGGTGGCTCAGATAATACTTCTGCAAAACATCCGATTTGATGATCAGCTGGTCTCGTTTCTGAACCAAATGTTATATACATCAGCATTAATTAATTGCCAAATCATTAACTATTTTTGATAAGAGAGACGTTTTTTTGGAATTGAAAATGATGTACATAGAATCCTCGTGTATGAGATATAGCAAATTTTATATGAAAGTCTCTGTACAAAATGTTTGTCATGTCTGGGAAAAAAATGTGTAAATAAGACAAATAAGAGAAAAAAAATACAACAGGCGAGTGTAGTATCGTATCAGATGGTTAAGAATTCATTCTGTGTGACATTCAAATCATGTTTTATACGTACATGTATTTGTGAAATGTCCACTTTGTGAACTTATATGGAGCTATAAAGAGTCCGTGGTTTCATGTCAACGTTTCAGTCTTTTTGGTCCGATCATCTTTGGAGAATGGATATTTTGTGCATTCCTGCTCTTCCAAGCGAATTTTTATACACAGTTTTGCAAGGGGGTGGTTACTGCCATGCCGCATCAAAGTAACTGCAGCGGCAGCACGTGATGAGTTTTGTAGACAAGGATATGAAAAAGTCTGTTCGATGTACCGACTACTGACACGTCAGCAAAGGAAAAGTAAAGTGTGTGCAAGTAATAATTATTTTGTCATGTTTTTGTGTAGCAATGCTGCTATAGATACTTAACTGAATACTGGGATTGTTTTGCCATGATGACATGTAAACTTTACTGTAAATAGAAGTCATAATTTCAAGGCAACTCGTATTATACGTATGTACATGTAACAGCACTTGTAAACTTATCTCAGTGTAAATAAATGGAACCAAATCCTGGGGCCTAAATTGAACAAAATTAGCGCTCCGTACCGTTCCTTCTCTTAGTTAATTGATCAACAAGTGTGCAGTGTTATTTTGTCACGTTTTGCGGCGAACCTGACGACGGCCAGAGCAGGCTGTTCGGAACGTTCAGTCCCTCCGGTTCTTTTCAGAACCACACACTCACAAAAGAGATTGATTCACATGGTGTCACCGCAAACTTATATTGTCTTAGAACCTGAACTTGCCAACGTGTTTTTGAGTTGCTGAAAAAAATATTTACCCGTCAGTTTTTAGCAGATACGGCATGACTTTGCTCTCTACGTTTTAAGTCGATTTGTATACAACGGACGAGTTGCCGAACGGTCGAGTTAGCTTTAGTCGAGATGGCAAACGGCCAACCCGGTCATTATATCACGCTTTGTGTGCTAAGCACACAAATTTGATTAGCACAAAATAAGTCTGGCTTATAAAAGCAGGCTACCAACCAAAACTCCATGTGATTTTCATGCTAAGCAAACAACAGCTGAATACTAATCGCGAGCAATAAACATCAAATAACCCAAAAATGTAATAACAAACTCTCCGTGTAGGCAATATACTATTAGTGTAGTTCGTAACATTTGGAATTACTCCAACATTTTGTTGGTCATTTAAAAAAAATATTCTACACCTTCCTTTCATCTACAAACCTCGTATTTAATAGAAACATGATCATACCACAGTTTAGCATTTGTTTTTAATCAGAGAGTTCTAAATTACAGAATTCATAGAAACGACCCAAAAATCCACAAATTTAATAAAAGAGAATTGAATTAGGCAACATTCACGGACATTTATCAAATAAACGTGTTTTTATCAGACACAATTAAGGTCAATCCTACCACAGTTAATCTTTTTTATTAGAGCGCGAGAGTTCTAAATTACATCGGATAAAAACGACCGAAAAATACACAAATTTAATAAAAGAGAATTGAATGCAAGATTAAGAACGGAAATATATCAAATAAAGTTGTATTCAACAGACGCAAGTCAATCATACCACAATCAAGCATTTGTTTGTGATCAAAGTGCATCCTTAAATAAAAGAGAATTAAAGGCAAGAATAAAGAACGGTCATTTTTTTTCAAATCAAGTTGTATTCCACAGACACAAGGTCAATCATACCACAGTTAAGCATTATTTGTGTGATCAGAAAGCATCCACAAATTAAATAAAAAGAGAATTGAAGGCATGATTAAACGGAAATTAATCTAATAAACTTGTGTTTGACAGTCAAGATTGATCAAAAACCTCGTTTGAAGTTGTTTGTGATGAGTTCTTATTGTACTTTTAGGCCTACGGACACGTCCAAAACCACTGCAGATTTAATCACAGAGGATTGAATGCAACAGTAAACGGACTTTTATCAAATAAACTCGCTTTTGACAGAGACGAGATCGATCGTAACTGCGTAAAATGAGCAGAATTGGGGCGAGCAGGTTTTTGTAATGCGAGATCACACTGCGCGAGTTGTATATCGTCCATTAAGAATCAAGATTGACGGCTTCAAAAACTGCCAGTCTAAAAAGAACCATGGAGCAAAATTGTCCTTTCATTCAAAATCAATCAAGTGACTGTTTTCAACAATTAAGAGCTCCCAGCCTACATAAATAAAGCAGGATTGGTTGGCTGTGACTTTATGTATACTCGATACAGCTATGTGGCTTTATGGCTTTGACTGTGTAGGTGATTGATAATTAGCCAGCTGTGCCTACCTCTTGCCTGCTCTTGTCTGTTGACTGAATTGGACTAGTGTGAGTGCTTTCTTGAAATATGATCTGACTGTTGGTGACTGGCCTGTGTAAAAGGCATGGCAGGGGAAGTGGATGGAAAGTTCGACTGTCTATGACTGTTCAAACAGTAGGAGGGTTAATACATGCAGTGTATGATCGCATTC